TATTCAAAGGTAGGTGCAAACCCTTTTCTCCAGAAGTTAATAAAATGATGTCCATATCTTATTTTGAATTGTCTTCTCCACTATGATATGGAGATAATACAATTCTGCTACCTTGAAATATTGAATTATTCATAATTCAAAATTAATGTTCACATTAATTTTCACAGTACATATTCAAACATGAGCACAACATAAATGCTAACCTCTTCCCACACACACACACATACACATGCAGCAAATGACATAATGAAAGAGGTAAATCAAAACAACTTCATCAGCTTGGTCTATAGAGATCCAAATTGGTCATAACAAGCTTTATTCATTCTCAGCCTACCTTACCTATTAGGATTATTTTGAGATTAAAATACACAAATGTTGAAAGAGCCATTAGGTTTAAAGTGCCTTAGAGAAGAGTGAATATGAAAATAAATTACAGCAAAATCAGTTATAACACATAGAGACAAACCATCAGGGAAGGCTTTTCTAACTAACATGAGATTGGTGAAGAATTTTAAATGTATCAGCAATACTAGTGGCAAAAATACATGCGTAAATATTAGTAAATTGCAATATTGTAAAAAGTAATTATTTTCATTTCCATTCTCCAGATAGTGGGAAAGCATTTTTGGTGTTTTTGTTTTTAAAGGTGGCCAATATTGGGGACAAGATAAATCTTTTAAGTAGATATAATATCAGCTTCCTCATTTAATATAATTCCAGAATCCTATTTTCTGGAGTGTTATTTATGCATAAGAGCCATTATACAGTACTGTATATCCAGCTTCAGAACAGGTAGGGTTAAAGTGTAGAAGGGACTTTGGCTTCATTTTATGCACTTCAAAAAAAAAAAAAAAAAAAAAAAAGCAAGCTTGGGACTAGAAAACAAAGCCAGATCTTAGATAAAAGTTATTTAAGTTTCATAGGTGGATTAGGTAGTGGAAGGGAGTGTTTGCTTTTTTTCTGAATTTACTTTGATGTGTTTACTTTTACTTCCTTTTTGGCAGCATTCATAGCAAGGAAACAACACAACTCAACTGGTAAAGGATTTGAAATAAACACAGATAACTGAGTAATTGAACTGCACAAGATCTTTTTGCTTTTTTGTATCCCTATTGCTAGTTTCTCTTTGACTAAGAGTTACATTTAAAAAATAGTGTGATTGTTTTAAAAACTACCCTGGCTTCTGCACTGCTTCTTTCTTCAGAGTTCAGATAACTTTAATATCAAATTTAAAATTCTCTACTCTGAGAGAAGGATCAAATTAATAAATAAAACGCCTCAAGCAATTAAATGCAGGGATTTTGAAAAAATAAAACAACAAAGTTAGAGCAAGAATGAGGACTCTATGAAGTTAAAATATTACTCATAATAATAGTAATACTGGAGGAACTTTAGGTTCCCCATTCCTAAAAGGCAAGGCAAGAGTCAACTCTTGTATTTAAGTTCTGCTTTGAACAAAGATGCTAATATGATGTAGTAGTCAGGTCTGAGAGTAAAGGGACCACTGGCAATTTTTTAAGAAAAAAAGTTAATGGTTCCTAAATGCCTTTCCAAACTTCATAGTTGTATCATGATTGGTTCAAGGAATTTTCTCATCAACAGATAATGGTATAGGCATAAATATTGTAACGCTAATTTTTTTGGAGTCAGGGGAATGAATCTGTTTGCCTGCCTAATCCAGAAAAAAATGTAATATACCATTCTTGTACATAGATAAACATACTTGACTTGTTTTCTTGACCTCCACAATTTGCAAATGTGTGTGTACTTGAATTTTTTGATGTCTCAGTTACATGCACTTGATTTGGGGAAAAATGTATAGGAATGTTATATCAAAAATGTGTCTCATTTATGTTCTTTCTAAACACTTTTTTAGGTTTGGTGATCAGACAACGTTGGACTCCCAGGCTAATTTTAATTTTCCCTTCTCTTCGTCAATTGCCACTTGCCACTGATGCAACATCCCTCTTTTCCAATATCATGAATGACTGTAGCTCTTTAAATTCATAAAACTGGCACTCTACAACTTGTTAATTCCCAGGGCATGCATCACTGGAGCCTACAGCTTGGACCTCTTTTGTAAAGTTGCCTATATCTTAGTTTGCTGTTCAGTTGCCCTATTTGCCACATTCCTTCAGAACTGCAGTAAAGGATCAGTAGATGCAGCACTTGGCTAATACTGTCTGTCACAACATGATGATCCAGGAAAAAGCAGTTGAGAGCCTTCTTTTCTGCTGCATCCTTTTGTTTCCATGGTAACAGGAAGAGGCTTTGAAAGGTAGTCCTGGAGCTGCTCTTTTAGGTATGGTGGAGAAGTGAAGACTGATCACTTAAGGGTCTGCAGGCTGAGGCCAGAACCAGCAGGGGAAGTTGTATAGGCAAAGGTTGGGACTTGGGGTGGGAATTAGACCCAGATGAAATGAGTGACAGAAAGGATGAAGCTGAGAAGGGCCTGGTTTTAAAATGGCAGTGTTTAAAATAACTTGAATTACAGGACAAGGCTAGTTGGTAAGAAATGCTAAGGACTGAGGATAGCTGAAGGAGGAGTGATTTAATATTTAACTGGGCTCTCTTCTCCAGCCAGTAAGGGAAGTCTGATTAGTGGTTCGATCCTCACTGGCTCAAGGTTGACTCAGCCTTCCATCCTTCCAAGGTTGGTAAAATGAGGACCCAGATTGTTGGAGGCAATAGGCTGACTCTGTAAACTGCTTAGAGAGAGCTGTAAAGCATTGTGAAGCAGTATATAAGTGCTATTGCTATTGCTATTACTGGGGGTGGGGGTGGGGTGATTGTTTTCTAAAACATGTCTGTTTCCATCACGATGAATAATGAGTGGGCCATCGGCCACATGCAAACTCACAATTATATTTTGACAACCCACAGGGCATCTTTCTCAATTGGGACTAAAAAAGGATAAAATGATTGTGTTAAACCTTTGTGAATCTAAGGCACTCATTTTGTTCTTTAATCTTTCCAAGTCCACAATAAAAAGACTGAAACTTTAGTTATGTCCACTCTGGTGATAACATTATGATACCAGCTACGTCAGTGGTTCTCAACCTGTGGGTCGGGACCCCATCTGGGATCGAACGACCATTTCACGGGGGTCACCAAACAACGCAGTCCGCCATTTTCTTCCCCTTTTCCTTAGCTGTGTTACTCCCTTTTATTCTATTGGCTTTTGAAAGCCAATAGAATAGACTCTCTTGAATAGAGTCTAATTCTATTGGCTTTCAAAAGCCAATAGGAATTGTCCAGGCTGTCTCTGCCCTGCTGAGCCCGCCAAAAGTCCCATTCTGCAAACGGTGCTGCAAGTTGTCTGCAGCGAAGGCGAGCTGTCTGGAAGTTTCCACCCCTCCCTGCTGAGCAACTACTAAAAATGTAAGTAAAAGGGGGCCAGGGATGGGAGGTGGGAGGCTGGCGGGCGCAGGGAGGGTTGCTGGCATGCGTGGGGCCCGGCGGGTGCCTTACCTCCCTTGGGCTGGGCCACTGGTGGTCCAGCCGGTGCTCGGCCTGCACCATCTCTGCCGCTTGCCAGCTACGCCTCGGCTGGCATAGGGGGCGGCACCACACATGCGCGGCGCTCCCGGGCAGGGAAAGTCCTCGACTTACGACCGGTTGGGTAGTCCTCGACTTATGACCGGTTGGGTAGTTCTCGACTTATGATCGGTTGGGGTCGCGGCATTAAAAAGGTTGAGAACCACTGAGCTACATACATTTAACAGGAATTCGTAAACTTTTTGCCATCATTCCCCTACCACCTTTAGTGTAATCTTAATATATACATCTATTCTAAAAATCCAAAGGCCAAATAAACACAAATCAGTACAATGGGAAAGGTGGATTTATTGTAACAATGTAACTATTGTAAAAGGTTTCTAATATCACTCTCCAAAAGAATGGTACTTTACAGTTTGGGAAACTGGCTTTAGAGACAAAGAAAGAAAGACGTGAAAGGGCGGAACATGCTTATAAAGAGATTTTGCACTCCTTTTCATATTTCTACTAAAAATACACAGAATTATGGTGCAACATATTTTAAAAAGTCTAAGCTATGCATTTGTTATCTAATAGAAGAGGTATGAAATGAATTTTGGAAGGTTGTAACTTGATTTTGAATACTTTTTGATATCCCTCTTCGATGTTTTTATAATAAGCTCTCTTTATGTTTGTATAGTTGAGTTGACAATTGAGATACCAGATGGCTTCAAATGATGAAGACGCCATTGCTTGGTACCAAAAAAAGGTCAGGTTTAGATTTGTTTTTTGAGCTTAATATATTTGCTATGTAGTTAAGATTACATCATAGCTTTAAACGGTGGGGGTTTATTTTAGAATTTACACATTGGTTAAATCATGTTTAAAACAGTTATTATTGGTGCTATTGTTAAAATATTTGGAGTGATTCTTTTACTTGGTTTCAGACATAATTTGGATTTCTTATTTTAGCTGCACCTACTATCAAATTAGTATGTATATTTTCTGTGCTTCATTTTTACATTCAGTAAAACAGTTGTACAAACTCTACGTAACGGTATTGAGGAATGAGTTATAAAACAAACCTAAAATACAGTTGTGTATTTTATTTCATAATCATAACTTGATTATAGTTCTTCAACCTTTCAGCATTTTTATAACACATAAAATCATTTAGAATATTGATGATTGCTTGCTTTCTCCATTTGTAATAACATATCAAAAAAACCTCTCCAAAATATTCCTTTCTATATCTGTAGTATTAAATAGAGGAATTCTAGTAAATAACTCAATGAATTCATTTTTATTTATCAAATTTCTATACCAATATTTGTAAATACTGAAATGTGAATATTTAAATGTTATTATTTTACTAATACATTGGTGTTGAAGGTAAAAGTAATATATGAGAAATAGCTGCTTTTTTTCAGATTGGAGCTTATGATCAACAAATATGGGAAAAGTCCATAGAACAGACTGAGATGAAGGTAAAAAAAAAATTGCTGACAATTTTGTTGAATGTCTTAATTCTTTATTTTATGGCCATGTGGAATGACATGGCTGAAATATGTTGTATGTAACAAATAGAATGACATGTAAAATATAAGGGGTGAATATAGTGAAATATAATATTTAAATGACATGTAAAATATAAGTGAATATAATGAAATATAATATTTAAAATTGCCCACATCTTATTAAAGTGGAAAGTTGTAAAGTATTCATTGACTTACCATGTAATTGTTGCAGACAGTCCCGCAATACTTCCTCATCATCATAAGTAGGAGTGCTTGATGGGTATTTGGATGCATAATTGAATCAAGGTCTGAGCTGAAGGAGAAGCATTATGAGAAATCAGAAGGACATTATACGTACTGCAGTGAAGATTTGGTAGTATAGATGTAACTGACTGGGAACAAGGTGGAACCCAGTACAGAACTAAGTGTGATAAAAATTATCTGACTATGTTTCTAAATAGCAGACATACCCTGAAGAACATGAAAATCCTAGCTTTTATTAATATTTAAATTTACATGAAAGACTCAAATTAAAATTTATTTTAGTTTCTTCCATGCAATGTTTATGGATGGTCAAATGTTATGGAAACTGACAATTAGAGATTGTCAGTATCAGAGACTGTATCTGATGTTTGTAATTCTGCTGATGGACAGTGTCCACTTGTGGAATAAGATATGGCCACTTTTAATTTTTGAAAATTCTGAAAACAATTGCATTTCATACTATTCTGATTAAGTAACAGTTAAGTTCATATTTGGGGCTACAGAGGGGAGAAAATATTTTAAAATCTTGCTGTTGTCTGAGCCATCAATAGACACATAGAGATAAACTGCACCAATAAGAATGAAACAAAAAAATCAGAACACATACTTTCCAGCAGCCAGATAAATGGGGATCAACACAAGACAAACAGGTGGAAAATAATAAACTAATCAAGGAACTTCCGGGGAGAAAACCCTACCCCGATTGACACTGGCAGGGCAAGCTGTGGTGTATAAACAGGAAAGAAACCCCTTATTCACAAGCATTGACATTGTTACCTAGTAAACAAGTTTAGAGAACACCATGACTCCATAGTTCAACCTGAGTTACTTATATTCTCTTCTACTAGAAAAGTGTTATTATGTTCCTGATTATGATGGATGTCTTCTCAGAGAAACGTGCAACACTTGATTTATACAGTATACAGGTTTTTTTCAGACATTCTGAATGGTAAAGGCATATGGCAGTACATTTATAAATTAAAATGCAGTGGCAGTATTATAGTCAGTGAGGTTTATCTGATGCGTGATTATTACTTTGCTCATATATCTTTACATGAAAAAAATGGCAGGTATTCTCTGATACAGCATTGCCCTATGTTAATCTTTATATGGTATTGGATGAAATTTCTAGAATTCTCAGCCAATTATCCTAACAGCATGTTAGCTCAGTGGTTAAGATGCTGGGCTGGAAAGCCAGCAGCCCAGGTTCGAGAACTGAGTTCCATATGATGGAGTGAGCTCCTGTTCTCACCCCAGCTCTTGCCAACCTAGCTGTTTGAAAGCATACAAATGCAACTAGATAAATAGGTATCACTTTGGTGGGAAGGTAATAACACTCTGTATGTCATGTTGGCCACACGACTGTGGAAACAGTCAACGCTGGCTGAATAGCCTTGAAACGGATATTAGCATTGCCCCCTAGAGTCAACAGTAACTGGTGGAGTAATATCCGCAGGGACTCCTTAACTTTTTATCGTAAGAGCTAGGAATTGGAGAAGGTTATTCTGTGCTTCCCTTATTAACATGACTATGAAAGAGTAATTGTAATAAAATATGTATTCTGTGAGATCCGGGAAACTATTAATTATAAAATATTCTAATTGTTTATTACTAAATATGCAGGGCTTCAAAAGCAAACCCAGAAAGAAAGGCCACATACAGCCTGACTTGATAGATGTTGATTTAATAAGAGGTATGAACCATTTGAAAATTTAAAAACTTGTGTTAAATTTACAAAACATTTATACTCTATACAGTTAGTGATGACAAGTAATACCTATTATACAGATAAAGTCTTTAGTACTTATCTTATTTTATTTATAATTTTATTATAAATAAAATGCCTGTTGTGCTTTCTAGACTTTCATGGCAGCTTAGAATAATTAAAAGCCAATTAAATCAAAAGATATTTTAAAAAGTAGCAGAGATTTACATTTAAGCAAAACAAAATATTTCAAGATCCTATCTAAAATTAATAAAGTCAGACTTCTTGGAGATCCCCAGCATTATCCTCCAAAGATAATGTTCTGGTGGCTGTGTTTTGTATCTAGCTGAAATTTTGAAATATTCTGTGCCCCTATGTAGAGCATATTATAAAAATAATCTTTGTTAATAAAATATTTGTAACAGATACATTCCTACAAAAAAATAGGAGAAGTGGTGCATCTGCCAAAATTTTACAGAAGAGCTCCTAGCTACCATTTGACAATGCAAGATCATAAAGAATCCTAGATACACTGGAACAGAGAATATTCTCCTTCAAAAACAGTGTAACCCCATCCAGAACAGACTAAGCATCCAATTTTTAACTAGATTTCTTAAATGTATAGTCTCTTTAAAGGAAAACTGAACTCTTGCTGATTTCATGGACATTTCCATGAAGCATTCTTGGCAATAGGGCAGAAGTGCTTTGCTGTTGTCTCCTGGATTTTTTTCTTAAGGGGGGAGGCGGATGCTTCCTAGTCTTGCCTCCGATCTTGGCATTTCCATTCCAGTGCTAAACCAGGCCTGAAAACAGCACAGCTGGCTTGTATGGATTAAATTTCAACTTGGTGCTGGAACCAAATTTCTGTTCAGAGCTTCCGATTGTGGCCACAAATATCATCTGAAAAATGAAAAATGAAAACAGAATATTGACTGTCCAACCCTCAGTAAATGTCTCGCAGTTCTCTTGTCTCACAGTTCATGGTTTGAGTAGAAAAAAAATAACAGCTAATGCACTTTTCTTGATTATCTTCTGAAATACTTGTTTTCATTATATAAAATTTTCAGGTTCCACATTTGCCAAAGCTAAACCTGAAATTCCTTGGACATCACTTACAAGGAAGGGAATTGTGCGAGTTATATTATTCCCATTTTTTAGTCAATGGTGGATACATGTCACTTCTTGGCGTATATTTATGTGGCTGTTAGTATTGTACCTTTTACAAGGTGAGTAGAGATTAAAATTATGCTAGGATTATTTAACAATCTAATAAATTAACTTTGGGTTTGCTCATTTAAATGGATCTAATTTTGAAATTCCATATTAAACCATGACTTATGCTATGACAGAATTTACTACTATTGATTTTTAAAAACAACAAATATTTTATAATATTGAATACAAAGACTTTATTTCGGAAGTTTCCCTTATGTGTAATATTTGTTTATTATATGAACAGGCTATCTGAAGATGGGAATAGAGCTTGATCTTCTACTTGTGGATTTGTAGAGGGAATTAGAAGGGATATTTGGGATGATCAATGATCTAAAGCATATTCATTAACTTCCAAAGGCTTAATTGCATTTCAGTGAAAAGCAGTATAATCTCAATGTATCCAGAACTGGAATTAGGTCATAGAGCAGTGAAAGTAGGAAGTTGCCTTGTAGTAATACTATAGATTATATCAAATCTGAACCACAAAGAAATAAGGAGGATTAGAAAGTCCAAACTAATACATTGACAGTATGGTCAGAGACATGTGTGATATAATGAGAGGGGTGGGGTGGCGGTCATGGTCCCAGTGATATTCTGGGTAGAAACATGAATAATTCTGCATTGAAACCAATACAGCAGTGGAAAGAATAACAAATATGTCATCAGGAGGCACAACCAAGGGCTTGAAAAAAGGAGAGGTAAAATAAGAGATCTCCCATTTAAGAAGACTGTCTCATTATCCAGAATTTCTGATAATCTAAGTTCAAAATAAGTGACTTGACCAACTTAAGATGATGCTGAACAAGCAGAAGAGGGAAAGAGATGTGTCACTATTGCAATTGCATGGAAAGGATTTTCAGATTTGATATTCCAGGGTTGAAGATATAGTAAAGATATAAGAGGCAGGATAGTTCAGGCTATGGCAAAATGTTTGGAATGGGAAGAAGATATGAAAGTAGAAGTGTATAGAATTAACATAAGATCTGCCAAATTAAAAAAAATCATTTTGTCAGAAAATGAGATGAGATTCTACAAGAGCATATCAGTACTAAAAGATAGCTAATTCAGATGGAATCCTGCTTAAAGAAATACCATTCAGAATTATTTAAAAAGACTTATAGGTGGTTGGTTTTATATATGGTGACTGCAGTGAGGTTATTATGTGCATAAAGATGGAAAAAATATAAAAATACCCACAATGGAGGAGTGTACTGTGAAGATGGTAGAACTTGCAGAAATGTCTAAATTGATTTATCTTATTAAGGAAGGGACAATCATTACTTTTATAAAAGACTGGAAACCCTTTATGGACTTTTTGTTTAAATGAATAAAATAAATTGGTGATTTTGTGATTTACTAATTAAAAATGTTGCTTGTGGGAAGAAGGGAACCCAGATAAGTAATTTGGCTTGGTGGAAATGGTAATAGTCATGCAAGTAATGGTTGCAAAGAAAATTGGAATTTCTTCTTTAGATGTCTTTTTCTTTTTTCTTGTCTCTATTTCTCACTTTTTCCTTTCATCTTATATATTCACTTTTTCCTTTCATCTTTATATATCTTTTTCCTTCTTTTTTTCCTTAATTTTTATAGTTTTTCAATTCTGTGTAAAATTATTTGCCAATTAAAATTTATATGTATATGTGAGTGGTGTGTGTATTTATTATTGGAAAAACATATTAAGGTAGTCATATCATTTGCAAGATCCACAAAAATATTTCAGAAACTGCTCCTGGCTATCTTTTCATAGCCTGCATTTTTAGCAATTCCTGTGTCTGTAAAACACCTACTTTGAAGGCTTTGGGTAGCCCCAATATCTATTGCATTTAAAATTGTAATTTGTATCATGCCAAGATTTGAGGAAGGGATCTCAGCAAATGCAGATTAAGGTACCATCTAATATTGGATCATGGGAGTAAGGAGTAACAGGCAATAATTGGTTTAGTGTTAAACTTCTGTCCATTACAAATCAATCCTAAATTCATATTTTTTACCACACAATTAGCAAAGGAGAAACTCAGTGCTAAGTTTACATATGCAGTAATTTCTGGAGGCTATTATATTAAATTTCTTTTATTTTTAGAAGATAACATTTTTGTCGGTACATTTTTTTTAATGTAGCATTTTTACATGGTATGCATTTATATATAAGTATAGTACAAATCTTATTTTTACTTGTTAGACAATTTATATACTTTTTTTCAGTTGTAGCAATTACATTATATTCCATAATGCCAGTAGTGAGTGCAAGTGAAATCATTGGACCATTGTGCCTTATGCTACTCATGGGAACTGTACACTGTCAGATAGTATCTACTCAGTTATCTAAATCTTCAGGAATTGATGGGAGCGGTGTTGGTCGAAGAAGGAGGTGAGAGATCAATGTCTGTAGCTTGGGGAGGAATGCTCCTTTTCAGATGAGAGTATTTCTTTGCATCCTGCTTAAAGGCCATTTTTCTTATAATATGCATTGTGTGAATTGTGCCTCTGCTTGCACTATTATTGCTAATTCACTTGTTTTACCTATATAGATTCTAATAAGTTACAGCTTTTGTATTTAACTTTAGGAATATGTGCTAATTTGCACTGTTTACATATCACTCTTGAGTATAAATGTGTCAAAGCAGATTCCATAAAATGATAATAGGCATACAGTAAGCATGAAATACAAAAGCATGAAATAATAAAAACAATTAACTTATTGCTTGAGCATTTAAAAAAAAATAGAAAAAAATCAAGGGGATATTTGGGCAACGGTTAATTTTTTGCAGAAATAATTTATTTTGGAGCTTGCTTAATCTCAGCATTTTTTCAAATAACAGGATCTGCTATAGACTCTGCCTATCTCTATTCCACAGATTGATTAATATCAGTAGGTTCAGTACAGTTAGCAAGATATACTCAGCAAAGAATATAGAATAGAATAGAATAGAATAGAATAGAATAGAATAGAATAGAATAGAGCTGGAGGGGACCTTGGAGGTCTTCTAGTCCAGTTCCCTGCTTGAGCAGGAGAACCTATACCATTTCAGACAAATAACTGTCTAGCCTCTTCTTAAAAATCTCCAGTGATGGAGCGACTACAATTTCTGGAGAAAAGCTGTTCTACTGGTTAATTGTCCTCACTGTCAGGAAGTTTCTCCTTAATTCCAGGTTGCTTCTCTCTTTGATCAGTTTCCAACCATTGTAGAGAGATTAAGTAGATGTATAGAGGAAGAAGGCAGTTCCTTTGATAACTGAGTTCTGAGTTGTTTATAAATCAACAACAAACTGATGAAAATAATTCATATTTAATTTTTACAGAACAGTAACATGAGCTCTTTGTGGGATATAATCCGATATTTTATCAGTGAAGCAACAAATATATATTTCTCTTTTATCATTAGAGGCATTGTTAAAGATCAGGATTTCTCCTTCATAGTACTTCATCAGTTTTTAATTTAATGGCTAGTGTTTTTAGACAGAAAATTAAAGGTGATATTAGCCACAGTTAACTCTATATAGTTTAAACCCTCCTCATTTCATGCATGAAGGAAGTTTTAACATACTTTGTTGCTAACATTTTTGAGATAATATACAGATGTGGTAGCGAAAGTGAAGTCTAGTATAAAATACCAGAATCATCAATTCAGTGTAGAACCAAGTGAAAAAACTGGGATGTCTCATTTTCATTATTACATGCATAAATATGTATTTATTTATTTCTCACTTTATAAACCTCCCATTTCCCTCATAGAGCAACTCTGGGCTTATAGATTCTTTCCTTGTACTTGTATTAATGGACATATGCACATATTTATTTATTTTATTTATTAATTAAATTTCTATGCCCCCTATCTTCTCTATAAGGTATTTCTGGGCATTATAGACACTTAATTCCTTTATGTGATATTTTAGCATCCTAAATCCTACAGCAATCTCAAAAGACATATCTTTATGAATATGTATTTTATTCATAATTGGCATCTGGTAATATTTATATTCTCTGGTACAGATATGTTAAAAATTCTGCGGGTTTGAAGAGGTAGAGATTTATTATCAAACTCAAATTTATGCTATTTTTTTTAATCTAGAAAAATGCGCAAATTTGCAGGAGGTGATGTCTATACTTCCTCTGACAAAATCAGCAGAAGCGAGGAGCCATTGGAGTCCTCATCCAGGATCAGCAGCTTGTTTGATTCAGTATTGCGCCGAAGGAGCAGGGAAGGGTATGGTTGGTAATATTAGCTTGTTTAGAAGATACGACTGAAATTTTAACTGGCTTTTAACTCTAATTCTGATATTGCTCCAAGATTACATCATGTAATTTATTATGGCCAGTTATGTGCATTTCTGAAAAGGGCCTGTCAAATTGTCTTTCTACAACTGCTGGATTCTCATCTTTCTTCAGTCCTATCTCATTTATATTTTTATACCACATTCCATGAGGCAACTCAGATAGCTTAAAAGTTTTTCCTCCCCACTTTTATAAATTACAGCAGTCCTATGTAGATTCTATTAAGACACGAATGACTCAAAACTCATCAGAGCCTTCATATTTAAGGATGCATTTAAATTATTATTGCCTTGTTCCTACTCCAGCATCCAAAAGTGTGTGTTTGTGTGTAACTTTGATTTGCCAATGAAGTGCCTGATATTGCCTTGCTTTACATAAAAGTATTATCAGGAAGAATGGGAAAAATGTTATTCCTTTATTTTCTCTCAGCACATTCGGTGTCAGACAGATGGCAAACTTCAAATTTTTAATAATTTAAGTTTTGATAGATTTTAAAATGATTAAGCGGAAATTTCATCTTCTGTATAATGAGGATTGGATTTGAAACTTGCAATTAGATTTTCATAATTCTGCAAGTTTAATATGAGGAGATCATGGAAAATTCTATGTCTTCTCAACTATGTCTTCATTTTAAAAGTGTGAATAAGGAAGATACGCATTTCTTTCCATAGGGTGAAAAGGGGAAAACGGGTAGCAGATAAGGGGTCTGAAACAGAGCATAGCAGTGGTATAAAACGCAGGATTTCCAGATCTGAACACAGTTTTCAACGTTCGAAGGATTCTGAAATGCAGTTAAATGTAGATAGAAAACAGGTAAAGTTTGAACTTGATGTGTTTGCTTGATGCAAATGTCAAATTTCCTCAATATGAACAATAGCACAAAGATTAACTCTTACCCGCTCATCTGAATTTTGAAAAATATGGAAAACCTCTCCAAAACATTTTTATCATTATACAGATAATATTATTATCATTTAATTATAGAAAATAAAATATAATACAATTACATAATATAATTTCTGTACATAGTTATATTATTGCCTGATTGTCATAAAGTAAACAGCATTTTTTCTGTTTTAAACAATGCAGCTTGGATTGAAATGATGATTGTTATCAGATTTTAAAGTACAGGAACTTAGCTGGGATTCAGGAAGGAGAATAAAACATCTATAATTTTTATTTCAACTTTCCTTCAAGGAAATAAGCTTGGCATACTGCACATGGATCCTCTTCATTTTATTCTCATAGCAGTTATAGAAGTTTAGCTAGGCTGAAAGGAATGATATGAGTTTCACAGATAAAAAAATTCAAAACCCAATCTACTAGATCATAGTTTAACATTACTTTTCAGTCATAATAGTGAAGATATTATGTAGTCCTCAAATTATGACCACAGTTGAGCCCAAAATTTATGTTGCTAAGTGAGAAATTTGTTAAGTGAATTTGTCACAGTTGTTAATTGAATCATTGCCGCTGATAAGTTAGTAACATGATTGTTAAGTAAATCTGGTTACCCCATTGACTTTGCTTGTCAGAAGGTCGCAAAAAGTGATCACTTGACCCAGGGACACTGAAACCGTCATAAATGTGAGTCAGTTGTCAAGCATCCGAATGTAAATCACATGACCCTGGGGAAGCTGCCACAGTCATAAGTGTGAAAAATGGTCATAAGTTACTTTTTTCAGTGCTGTTGTAACTTCGAAAGGTCACTAAGCAAACTGTTGTAAGTCGAGGACTACCTCTATATGGAATTCCCTGCAGGAAAACAGATGGTCCATAGCTATGGAGTTGTCCTACATTAAGTAAACTGGAGTGTTTGTGGAGGAGATTTCAATCATGTCATTAGATTAATCATTTCTACATTTCTACATGTGCAGCCATGTAGTGTGTAACATTATTACAGTATACATTTGTCTGTGTTGATGTATATTTTGTTTGTACTTCTATAGAATAAATTGTTACTGATTACTTCCTATGGTATAAATAGGTTGCATGAATGTGAAACTGTCTCATCCACTTGATGTTAATCCTGATTAATGTTCTTTTAGACTATTTCTAGACAGTCAGGCATTTCTGATGAATTGTCAAGCGAGGAAGAAACAGATAATGCTGGTCAGGTAGTTTTGCTGCGCAGAAGCGTAGAAGGTGGCCCTAGTATAATTGTAACTGAAGATCAGGGCAAAAAGTCTTCTCTTATTTCTCCATCTGCCTCAACAAATCAGTCAGTGTCACAGGTAAGTGTTGTCAAAAACTGTTATCCCACTTAATTTAGGCAACAAATGCATTTCACTTTTATCAAATTAAGAAAGAGATGAAGCCAGCCTTCAACTGCTGTGTGCTCCATTTGTGTTGGGACAGCAACTCTAGAATTACTAGCTAATGCACCCATATCTGCAGGACACCAGAAAAGAAGTGTAATAATTATTAACCCTAATCCTAACCCTGAACTAGTAGATTATAATGTTCACAATTTATACTCCTTGGTGTTTATTTAGGGATCTCTGGAAGCAAACTAAAGAATTATTGTTCAGTGTCTCTATATTCTGTTTTCTAGATGGATAAAGATAAATATAATAGTGCTAACATTAAACAAATGATATAAGATTAGATATTTAGCACTTCTACCCATTTAGAGTCCATTTTTAAAGCAAAACCAATTGCTGTTGGGCAGAGAAGGTTTGGCAGACAGGGCCATTTGGTACTACTACAAAATATCATTGGAATTATATTTTAACTGGTTTCTATTCCTGCCTTGGACATACTCGTGTAAGAATTTCAGCTGAATTCAGGATGAGGTCATGGGCCCGAATACAATTTTACAATTTTGTTTGTAAAAGTCAGAAAAATGGTCTGGAAGGCAAGAACTCTTCTTCTGCTATCATTTGTCAGGCACGCTGTCTGTGATTCAGGATATGGTAAACATCCATAAAAAATGGTCACTGATAACCTCACTCCCCATGAACCTCTCTCCCTATTTAAAACTATCCAAATAGGCCAATATTATCACAGCTGCCAGCATTGAATTCCAGTTTAACTATGCACTATGTGAAGAAGAATAGTGTTTATTGTTCTTGATATTTATTTATCACAATTCATATAACATTGTGATACAGGGAGAAAATCATATTCATAGCATGGATTATATAACATTCAGTTCTTGGTTGGGATTCTGAGTATCCCTTAGGATTAGATCCAGTGTTGTAAGTCTCCCTCTTAGCTTGATAACTAACAGTTCCAAAGCACAATAATTTAATGTAGTCTGTTTTATTAGGTGAGTATTGCTGAAGCATCTATTTTTAGTTAGGAATGTAAATTGTTTCTTCTTACTAACTGCCACTCTCACATCCTCACTAGGAAGTTCCTGGAGTATGTATATGTATATACATACATATATATATTATATGTATAGAATCTCTGGTTATTGCCCTTTTACTCACTGAAAGATTCTGATGCTAAGTCACTTGCAAGAAAAGATCTCTCCCATCATATTCCTCCAGTCAAGCAGCATAGAAAGTTGAAAAACAAGGAAGAGTGAAGGTCTTCTAAGAGTGGATTCTCTTCATAGATATAACTGGAAAGCCCAGTTATTTGCATACATATGTACACATATATTGTCTTCACTTACCTATCATAATTGAGACTGTCAACCCAGTCACTAAACAGTGGTGACTGAATGAAAAATCACATGACTGCAGTGGACTTATGTCATTTCTACTTTTGTCATTAAGCAAATCACCACAGTTGTTAAGTAAGACATTACATTGCAATTTCATTTTTATGTTCTCCATTAATTCTGTTTGGTGAAAGCTGATTGTGAAGTTTACAAAAGGTGATCACATGATCATGGGATACTGTGATAAGTATAAATGTGAGGATTGGTTGCAAAGCTGTTTTTTTTTAACCATCATGACTTTGAACAGTCACTAAACAAAGCAGTTGGTAAGCCAGGACTACTTATAGACACGTATATATTTGTCTTTTGAATAAGTACAATACAATATAATATTGTATTTTTGATACAGTATATAACATCTTTTTTCTTTGAAGATTTTCTACATTTTAGTTCTTCACTCATTCTTTTTGTGATCTGAGGCAGGTCAAGGAAGTTGTGAAATCTATGCAAGATTCGGACAGCTTAGTGGAATCAGAACTTGAACTAACAATTCCTCAAGAGGTATTCAGAATTAAAAATTAAAATTTGTCCTCTGTGGAGATTCTGAATGTAGCTGATCCTTATTTTGATTTAAGATTCTTCTCAGCATCATCTGAGAGTAGAACTGGAATGACATAGGCAATGAGCCATGTTTTAATCATGTTTGGGGGAATAGATAATAGTGACTCACATTTAATGATAATCCTAATAGCTGAGTTTATTCAGTGTGTTAAATCAAAACCAATTAGCACATTATAGTTTCACATAAGGACAGGGTATTTGAGATCTCTGAAGTCCTTGGGAATTGTGCCCTTGAAATTGAAACAACAGGCAATCAAATTACATTGGCAAAAAAAAACCTTCTCTTTCATTTCTCAGCTGTTGTGGAGTGAACTAAATGCTGATATTACTCTGTAGAACATTCTTGGTTTAATAGAAGTGGTAGAGCAGGACATAAAGTCATTTGCAAAACAACATTTCTATGTTTCAGAATTAATCCCTACATAGAAATATGTTCCATGTTTTTGTTTCTATGTTTTATTAATATTTCAGTATTTTTGGTATAGTTCAATAATCCATTATAGCACTTATTGGATTTGACATTAGGAAGTAGGTATATCTATTCTATCATACCAATAATAGTGTTATGTTCTTGATTAGTATCTTAGTGCTTACTCTAACTTTTCTGCAGCACTGATGAATTGGAATATTTGACACTAATATTTTGTGGTATTTAGAAAGATAAAGGGACAAGTACAAATCTGTGTCAGACAGTTTTCATGATAAAGGAGGTTACTGGGATTGTGTTGGTACCTTTCCATGGGACTGGGCTTTTTAAAAATTATTTATTATCATTCTGATTTAATATAGCCACCCATTTCAGTTGCTTGCACCATTGTAACTTAAATGAATTAAAAGATTGACATGAGTATCTTATTAGTATCTTATAAAAAAAATCAGTGATTGGTTTTAATTGAATTAGGATTGCAGTAATTATTTTCTGAACATTTCCTCATAGGAGTCCAAAGCTCAGTATAGTAGTGAATCTCAAAGCGGTAGTATTTCTCATAGAGATTCGGAGAGTACTCGTCACGACTCTGAGACAGAAGATATGTTATGGGACGATTTGCTTCATGGACCTGAATACCGATCCTCTTTCACCAGTGACAGTGAGGAAGCAAAAGGAAAAGACAGAAAAGCAAGCAAACGAGATCTGAAGGATGATGTTTTCCAGCAGGTCTGTAAGATGCAAAGCGTTCCTCCTTGTGATGGTAGCTTAAACAAATAAAACATTGGGAGATAGTACCAGAAATTCCTCTTCATGTTCTCTGGCAACAAGCTGTGATACTATTTTTTTATGGATTTTTGTCCCATTGTATAAGTTCATGGTGCCATTTTATTTGGATAAATAAAATGGATTTTTTCAGTAGAGATGGTTTCCTATGTAGCAAGAATGAAAAAAAAAAGTTTAATTTAGACATACTGTAACTTACTGTGTTACCACAGGAATATGGAATTAAAGCAAAAGTTTTCAGATAGCTCATTGATGAAATGCAAGATTCTACATGCGTGGGGATAAGGTGATTTGGAGCACAGGGTGTACTCATGTAGCACCTCTTGGTGACTTCTTAAAGAAGCTATGTCTTTTCCTGGGCTTATATGGTGGAAATCAGGGAATCCAGGAAAATATCAGATTGTTACAGAATATTATTAGGTACTGTGTGCCTGTCCTCACCTAATCTAAATCAGCTTTTCCTATTTGAATCTGAAACTATGGCGGTAGTCTTTCTCGGATAGCAGCATTAACTCAAGGGCACTAAAAAAAGTGTTCTTGATTTGATGCCGCACCTATTAATTTCCTTACTAAGTGCCTTCAATCAAAAGGTAGGTGTGATTATAGCCATTTATAACAGATAGAAAACATTTAATGTCTCCCTCTCTCTTGTCATATCCCTGGAAAGAGAAGATGGGCTATCCTGAAGCACTTTAGTCCCAACAGTTCTTGCCACTTACAGAGCGCCCAGCCCAAACCTTGCCACAAGCTTTCACACACAAACATTAAAAATAAATTAAAAAATCCAAAGACACAGAGACTTCTTCCCCTGCTACTTCCACCAGCAGGAAGAGGGCTCCCCTCATTCATCCCCCACCAATACATCCCTTGATTTTCACCCAGAGAAAAAAAAAATCAGACCATTTACCATGGTACTAAATACAGGTGGTCCTATATTCTCTTCCTTCTTTCCTTCCCTTTTTCCTCCTCCTTCCCTCTGTATCTAGAGGATAGGCAAATTTGAGTCTTGCAGGGGAAAAAACTCCATAGAAGCCTGTCAAGTCCTCCCCCATCTGGCCACTGCCCACACTTTCTAAGCCCCAGCATCCCATAGAAAAAAAAATAGAGCAGCTAATATGGAAAAGCATCCCAAAATGTTAGAGGCTGTGAGGGTCTGGAGTGGGAACAACAGGCTTTGGTTGAACTCTTGTAAGACGTAATGACCCTGGGTTTGGTTTCAAGACTGTGCATCTTTGGTGCTGGATGGGATGGGACTGCTCAGGACAGACCCAGTTTGCAATTTTGGGGTCCACTTAGGCTCATGATTCCTGCTAAAAAAGCAGGTGGCAGTCACCATTAAGAGTTCACATAGCTTTGTCTTATGTGTCAGTTGCACTTGTTCCTCGATCAGCAGGCTCTGCTTACAGTTACTCATGCCTAGTCACCTCCAGCTTTGCATGGGGCTGCCCTTGTAGAGTATCCGGAAGCCTCACCTGGTACAGATGTGGGCAGTTATGTGTGCTCCTAGAACAATGTATGTTACACCTTTGTTCTGCAGTTTGGCTGCCAGTTTGCTTCTGAGTCTAATTAAAGATGTTGGTTTTAACCTTTAAAGCCCTTCATGTCATAGGACCTCTCTCTGGTTACATCAACCCATCCCATTAGATTTGGCATAGACAACATGTTGTAATGTTCCTGGTGAGTCCCAGGAAATAGGCTTTTTCTGCTATGATGCCCACTTAAGGAACATTCTTTTCCCTGAAATTAGATTAGCACCATCCCTTTTGACATTCCAGAAGTTCCTTAAGACCTGGTTATGTTATCAGGCCTGGGGCTCCCAGAAAACTGGAAACATGCTTCATTGACTTCATTGCTGAGGTAGCTGTTCTTATCCTCTCTTTGCCTAAGGTTGTGTATTTGTTTTGATAATATTTTTAATGTGGATTATTATATTTATGTATTGTTTGTTTTAGATATGTGTTGTTTTATTGGATTATTGTGGGCCACCCAGAATCAAGTTTTGTGAGATAGACCTTTATACCCATTTGATCAATCAATCAATCAATCAATCAATCAATAAACTGACTATAAGGAGTTCGCGATTAAAAAAAAATACTGGGGAAAAGCCCCTGGATGCCCTGTTACGTGGAATATAGTGACATCGGAGAACATCTGTTAATGGTTCTTATTGTTGTAATTATCAAATATTTTAAGTTTCTGTTACAGACAACGGAAGATTAAAATGCTCAGTGAGGATAAAAGTTAGACTAACATTCATGCTTGCTCAGATAGGAGCCATCTTTTGACCTGTATGAAGTTAATGGTAAAATGTTTGCTCAATATCATTAAATGAGGTGTTTTGAAGCCATTTCCCCCCATATTAGAAGAGACTTTACAGCATATGGCATCAGTATGTATTTTTTCCCCCTCAGAATCACTTGTTCTGGCTGCAGAATACAAGTCCTGCTTCTACCAAAGTGAGTGCACTCATCTGGGAGGGGAATGAGTGCAAGAAAGTAGACATGTCTGTTCTGGAGATCAGTGGAATCATCATGAGCAGGGTAAGGATTATGTCCATTCAGTATATTCTTATGGAAAAACTGGCAGCTCTATTCTGTGCAGCTTGTTTTGTATCCACAAGCAAAATATGTATTTATTTGTTTGTTTGTTTTACATATTTCTGAGCTGTGCATCTTCCTCAGAGAGGGGCTCTGGGTGGTTAATACAAGAATGTGTGATTTTGGAGGAATACAGTAGATATTTTAAGTTGGAAGTTCAGTGGGTTGCCTTTTTCCAAAACAATAGAAAATTGTTTTTATGTGATTACAAATTTACATGTATGCCATTTTGCAATCTTATTTTCACTGAGTTGAATCTAATGTTGAATTTCCATTCTTATGTAATGCTGCATTTTTAGATGCAGCACACTAATTCATAATGTTTGTATGTCTCAATGTACAGTCTGCAGTGCTGATATTGGTTTCCTTACCTTTAGGTCAATGCTTTTCACCAAGGATCTGGTTACCAATGGCTGGGCAATATTGTTACCATTGGTTTAGCTTTCCTTCCCTTCCTCTATCGACTCTTCCATTCAAAGACTTTTGAGCAATTGTGGTCCTTGACTGCAAAAGAAGTTTTGCATATCTTTTGTGGGGGTCCTCTATTCCCCCCTATAATCATCCTTGCAATGATCATCTTTCTGGAGCGCCTTTGCCTCACGTGGATGTTTTTCTTCATGATGTGTGTTGCTGAGAGGACTTACAAGCAGGTTAGTCTTAGTTGTCAAAAAAAAAATAATAATAAAAGAACCACATGACTGCTAATGAAAGCACTGCTCTCTGTCACTGTCCCTTGCTTTTGCCACATGGTTGTGTCATGTGGCAAAATGAATATATTATCATTATATTGCATGTTTCTCTATGAAAAATAAGTATCAGTTCCCCTTGTTATAATGTAATTTCTGTTCTAGAGAAATATGTATTATTAAAATGTTCTGCAAAGCTTTTGAAAGGTAGCAGTCAGAAAAGATCTGCCTATAATTTTCAAATGATAATGCATGTAATTTGCTCTGACTGACACTTTTCTTTGCAGCGTTTTCTGGTTGCTAAACTTTTTAGTCACATTACCTCTGCTCGGAAAGCAAGAAAATATGAAATCCCACATTTCAGACTCAAGAAAGTAGAAAACATTAAAATCTGGTTATCACTTCGTTCCTACTTAAAGGTAAGTGATATAAAAGCACTGAAATCTCAGCCCTAAACAAAAGATTCAGATTGTGGAGAGATTTGGGTTTTTGCTCTTTATATGTAATTCTGCATTATTTTAATTTTGTATGTTTGTTTTGCCAGAGGCGAGGCCCTCAACGATCTGTTGATGTAGTTGTATCCTCCATATTCTTACTGGCTCTTTCAATTGCTTTCATATGCTGTGCACAGGTAAGAACTCTGGGTTTATTTATTGACCATCAATAACACATACAGTAGGATGGATTTAAATTAAGTTGAGGGTGATGTCTGAGAGTCTCCAAGGATTTCTCAATTGTCCTGTTGGTAATTTTTTGTAATGAGATACATTTTTTGTAATGAGATACTTTTCAGACAATTCAGTAAATTAAAACTGAAATACTGTTGACTGATTATGTGATATCAAGTTTTTTTCAGCTCATAGAAACAACCTAGATTTTATCAATGACAATGTATTCCTAACCTGGTCCTTCAGGTCTTACAACAGTGCGCTCATCATCACTGTAATTAAGTCTGTCCACCTTGCTGATGGTTATCCTCCTTCTTTTCGTTCCATTTTTCCCATTAGAGCCTTCTCCAAAGAGCTGGGCCTTCACATAATGTGTCTGAAGTAGAATAATTTTAGCCTGGTCATTTGTACCTCAAGTGAGAACGCTGGATTGATTTGTTTGATGATCCATTTGTTGGCTGATCCTAAAAGCTATTTACAATCTTTATTGTCAATTCTATGACTAGCTATTTTACTTGTTATTACTTGTTATCAGTTTGGCCTTCATTATATTTACTTTTAGATCTCTTTTTCATTTTGTTCCTTAATTTTTATTACTAGAGCTTTCACATCCTTTGCATTTTCGGCTATCAGGTTAGTGTCATCAACATAGTGGAGGATATTGATGTTTCTTCAAATTTTAAGACCATGTTCATCCCCCAATTCAGTTTATTTATTCAATTTCTATAGCCACCCATCTCAGTCAATGACTCTGAGTGGCTTACAGTTCAAAAAATATATTACAATTAAGAAACTCAAAACTTTTTAAAACAGTAAAAAAATAAGAGCATCCTAAATAAATATGCATACCAGTTGAGATATTTGGCTAGTTAGCAATATAGTCAGGAAATAGGGCCTTTAACATATACATCACCCCATGGTAGGAAAAAATGTAAGGATAGTATCTGGATAGTACTTGGATGGCAGACCATGATAATGACCGGGGCTCATTAATCTGGGCTGGAAAGTCAGACAAACATTCTAGATGCAATGAAAAGTCCTCCCAAAAGTTCTGTCCCCCAAGTGCATAGATATAAACATTAAGTTAAAAGTTGAAGAAAGTTTAAAAACCTCCAAAGTTTCTTAATCATATTCAGCATGTATTGATTGTTTCAGGTAGCATTACCCAGAAGAAGTTATTTAACCAATAAATAGCAGTTGTGAAAACCTACACTCTGCAATTATAGCCCTTTATCTTTTTGATAGTAGAAGGCATGAAACTCACTTGATTTGCACACTGAAGTTAAAGTGGACAGTGAGTGGCAGAGGACTCTTTTTTGAATTTTGTGATTGGACAGTGTTACTCATCTTTATTCAAAACTGAGGAAGATTCCACTTGCCTGATCTGTTTCTCTGCCCTTGTGTTGTAATAAATGCATTGTGTGCTAAGAAGCATATTGATTTATTAGCTTGTATGCCATTTTAAACCTTGGGGAACTCTAGACATCTTAGATACTGGAGCAATGCACAATATATATTTTTTGCCAAGCTTTTGAATATTTCAGAAATTTGAGAGTAAAGGTTCGTTCTCTGAGCTTTTGGGCTGGTTTCCAAATGTTTCGTTACCAGGTTAGGTAACATCTTCAGCAGCATTTAGAGCAGTGGTTCTCAACCTGTAGGTCGGGACCCCATTTCGGGTCGAACGACCATTTCACGGGGGTCGCCAAACAACACAGTCCGCCATTTTTTTCCCTTTTCTTAGCTGTGCTACTCCCTTTTATTCTATTGGTTTTTGAAAGCCAATAGAATAGACTCTCTTGAATAGAGTCTAATTCTATTGGCTTTCAAAAGCCAATAGGAATTGTCCAGGCTGTCTCTGCCCTGCTGAGCCCGCCAAAAGTCCCATTCTGCAAATGGTGCTGCACCAGTTGAGTAGTCCTCGACTTACGACTGGTTGAGTAGTCCTCGACTTACGACCGGTTGGGGGTCGCGGCATTAAAAAGGTTAAGAACCACTGATTTAGAGGATATCTGTGTCATGCTTTTCTATTTATAAGGACTTCAGGTGTAGGTGTGTCAAGTGAGGGGCTTGTGATGAGTCATCAGAGAGAGGCTTGTGATGGGTCTTGTGATGGGGAGGTTACATCATTGGAAGGTGAACTGTTGGGGAGAGGGGGTTGTGTGGGTTGATTGGGGTTGGGGCTGACTTCGGCTGGCTGTGCGATTGATTGGATTCTATGGACTTCGTAGGCTGGTTGTAAATAAATTTCAGGAATTCATTGTACTGTAAGTCTCATAATTTTGATCTGGAAACCTGTGGATTAGAATATAAATGTGTAAATTTTGTATTAGAAAGTTGGAAAATGAAGAGCTCAGCATCTGCAATTAGGTATCCATGGTTAGAGAAATTTGGATATGGACAGTTACAACAGGAAAGATAGAAAAAGTTCAGTAAATGAAAGGATAAAAATCATTCTGCAAGTACATCCCCCTTTTTTCCTGCAGTTTGAACTAACCTGGCTTTAAGAGCATGTGTTGAAGTAATTTGTAGTCCTCTTAGGTCTTCTGAACACAGGGTGTTCTTACTGTGCAGGATGCAGTGTTAAATTGTGTGAAATTATTAACCAAGCTCAGTTCTAGAACAAAGTTAACTTACAGTCTGTTTGCTGATTGTTGTTGTGTTATTTTTCATAGGTTTTAAAAGGTCACAAGACATTCTTGAGTGCTGCTTACAATTGGGAGTTCCTAATCTGGGAAACTGCCCTGCTCTTATTCTTGTTGCGTTTGGCATCCCTCGGCTCTGACACCAACAAGAAATACAGTAATATTTCAATTCTGCTTACTGAACAGGTACTTTTGGATTCTTTGATTATTTCTTTGACATTATGACAGATCAATAAAGTAATATCTAAAAATAATACTATAGCAAGGTAAATACAAATTTTCAGTTGTTAACTTGCTGTTTATTTTGTTAAATATCCAGAGGCTGTCTTCTGGTGCTAGCAGATCCCTGAATTGTTCATAAAATATTAGTTACCCAACATGTAAGCTTTAGTTTGTCAGTCTTGAAGAAAAGCATGTTGTAAAACCAAGCACTGCAAGACAAAAATCAAGGAGTGGATACTTTTTGTGGAGGCCTTTTGTTTAGTGTATCAGTTATAACGCCAAGATAAGAGGTTGGGGGTGGGTGGGCTGTAACAAATTTCAGTATCTTCATTTTCAAAAATACCTGTAGAAGCTAAAGCACGGGCACTGTTTGATGAAAATTGAAGACCAAAATTATTTTATTTAATGAAAAGGTCTTTTAGCAATTTGTATCTTTTTTCCTTTGGTTTGCCTGTAGATAAGTCTTATGAAACAAATTTCCATAGGATTATTTTTTCCTAAATTTTTGTTTATTAAAAGCTGCATATTTATGTAATTTTTTTTGCTGTTGGTTAAGTTCTTAAAGTATATTTCAACTAAAGCACATATTTATGTTTTATTTGGAAAATCTGTTTTTTAGAACCTTCTTTCATACAGGGGAAAAGTAGCCATTGTCTTCTCCCCTTTCCAATTACAGTATATATTTCATGATCATACTGTTATCAAGGCAGATAGTTTGACTTTGTATATGAGTATATACAGTACTTGAGTGTTCTAGATTTTTTAAAAAGCACACCACACCATATTTCAGCTGATGTTTTTACTGGTTATGAAAAGTGATTTCATTTATAAAAGTTGCCTGTGTTGTTTATGCTTGTTGTGTAAGGAATATAATATTTAAATAACTTTCCTGCAGATAAATTTGTACTTAAAGATGGAAAAGAAACCAAACAAGAAAGAGCAACTCACACTAGTAAATAACGTCCTTAAACTCTCCACCAAACTCTTGAAGGTAAAAATAAAGTAAAAATTTGCACTTCTTTGCCTGTATTCTTCTGCTATATTTTTAAAAAGATGTTCAATAATCTTTTTATTGTATAAAAGCAATGCTGCTGTATTATAATTCTGTTTCATAACCACAGGAGTTAGATACACCATTTAGACTATATGGATTGACAGTGAATCCCTTGATCTATAATATTACACGAGTGGTAATCCTGTCGGCCGTCTCTGGAGTCATAAGTGATTTGCTGGGCTTCAATATCAGGGTAAGTGTTGCCAAGTACCTGTTGAGAATAGCTCAGCTGTCTGTTTCTCTAGTGTTGTTTACATAATGGCTATATTTTGTCTGCTCAAACATAAGCAAAACAGTGTAATTGTGAAAATAAAACAATTTATATTCCTGCTTCAGACCCATGTAACTTTCAAAGAGTGGTAACTTTTAGTTCTTAGGTATTTGGGGGGCACATTTCGAAACTGCAAAACAACTGTAAGCACAACCCAAAAGAGTATTGTATGATTAATTACAAAAGACAAGCATCTTATCAAAGAATCTAAATAAATTTTGAGTATGTATCTATAGGCAAACTGTGTATATGATTGTTCTTTGCAAGAAAATATCTACGGTACACTTAGAAGTCTTCAAGGATGCTGTTGGGTCAGTAGGAATCCATGGTAGAAATCCAATTTTTAGAACTTCAATTATTCTTAAAAATACAGTTTAGTCTAGTGGTAAAGACCCCATGCTAGAAAGTAGGAGACTGTGAGTGCTAGTCCCACCTCAGAATGAAAGCCAGTTGGGCTACCTTGGGCCATTCTCCCTCAACCAAACCAAACCAGAGTTTGTTGTTGGGAAAACAGAAGGAAGGATGATTAGGTATGCATGTTGCCTTGAATAATTTACAAAAAAATAAAAATGAGATAAAAATAAATAAATGAGGTAGAGTTATAAAACTACTTGTTTGGAAATTGTTCTGTACAAATGCAGCTTATATATGGACTTTGCTTTCATATGAGTTTAAAATTTATTTTCTGATTTTAATGTTAACTTTGTTCTCTCTCTCTCTCTCTCTCTCTTTTTAGTTATGGAAAATCAAACCGTGAGAGAGAAGATGCTGCAACCCATGTTTTGGGCAGAAACATTCTCCGATGTGCTACACAGGCTTGGCAAGGCCACTGAAGGTGCTTTTTCCTCACTTCAATACAAATGCCATATTTTCCATACATTTTCTTAAGAATTCAGAATTAATTTTTCATTGAGGTCACAGCTTGAAGAGATGGTTAAATAAATCTTAATAAATAACAATTCTAATGTATTCCATCTTAGTTGGTTAAACCAGCTGCTCCTATGGAGCAAAGCAATATGAAATTAGATGTCTGGCAACAAGGTTTATTAAAAGAATAAAAAAATAAGCCAGCATTATTCTGCTCTGAAACTGCCTGTTAAACCCATCTGTAACTAAAATGAATATAGCTATTTGATACCTAATAATTTAATATGGTGTTTGTTTCTGTCAAGCTCACCTATTTTCTGTAAGTTGCAGTTGACCTACTTTTTACATTTCAAAATGCCTCTGGTAGAATGCCTTTTCTTGAATGGCAGTTGGCTCTGCTTGTTTTGCTGTACTGGGAGAGGAGAATGAAATTTATTCCAACAAAATACGAATATCCTCTTCAGGCATTTTACAGTTCAGCCTTCCATTGCTCAGTAATACATAATAGTAATAACAGAAGATGGCTAAGAGTAGATTTGCCATATATTTAAGAACGCTATTAGAGTTCTCCAGTTAGTGATCTCAATTATCCATGAAAAAATAAAAATGTTGGTATGGTATCTATGTTTTATGCAAAGCAATTGGAAACTTGTATAATATTGTTAAATGTTACCAGTTAGCACCACAAAAACTGAGTTGGTTCTGAAGAAATTTTTACTGTAAACTTTTGTTTAAAAGAAGGTTTACATACTTTCCCCGACTGGGTAACTGTTAGACTGCAAATCAATTTATACATATATATTTTTTCTATCTGTGTTATGTTTCTAAGTTCTTAGAATAAAGCATTACTGGACCTGTAAAAGGAACTACCAAAGTTTGGCTGCTATTATTAGAATTTATGCAATAGTTTTTTTCTTTCAAACAATTCACTTTTTCTGGAGGGAACACGCCTTTAGAACAGGGCTTTTCAACCTTTTCACCCATTGTACCACTTTTAGGATATGGCAATATCTGAGTACTACCAATTGCCTAGCAAGGTGTCAAAAACCTGATGACCAAAAAAAAAAAAAAAAGAAAAAAAGTGATAAAGTACAGGTAGTCCTCGACTTACAACAGTTTGCTTAATGACTGTTTGAAGTTACAGTGGTATTGAAAAAAGTGCCCAAGCCACAGCCGAGCAAGACAGCTGCCTGCCCACCCAGCGGCACTCTTCCTCCTGTTCGAGGTTTTCATTGTTGTGAGCATTTCTGTTGGGGATTGGCAGCGGAGGTGGGGTGGGGGGTGTTTGGTTTTTATTCCCCCCATTTGCTGGGTGGTTGCAGCAGATTTTGGTCACTTCACATGATCCTGGGACCCTTTGACTGTCATAAATATGAATCAGTTACCAAGGATCTGAATGTAAATCACAAGACCCTGGAGATGCTGCAACATTCCAGATGATCGTCGCTTCTTCTGGGCTCAGCAGAAGTGCCAGGATCAGTGCCGAGCTCCAGCCGGAGCCTGGTGCTGATCCTGGTGCTTCCACTGAGCCCTGACAGCACCGAAGCGCCGATCAGCTGGAAAGCGGCACTGATCCCGGTGCTTCCGCTGAGCCCTGACAGCCCTGTGGCTCCAGCTACCTCTTGCTCAGGCTTGTGCGGTGCTACCCCCAGTTCAGCTCATTCCCCTCCCCCGCTACCACTTTTCTAGGATGGTCATGTGCCACCTGCCAAGTGCCAATGTACCACAGGTGGTACCCGTACCACTGGTTGAAAAGCCCTGCTTTAGAACATTCTATGTTATATATAAAGCTATTATTGGCATTCTTGTAAGATGCTGAAGGAATTTGTATGATAATATTTGAAATTAAATGTTAGTAACAAAGACAAATAAAACAGAAGTCAAGAGAGAAGTCAGTGATGGTTTGCTGTGGGGTTTTTCCAGTGAAAAGGATATGCTTGCAAGTATTTATTGCTAGCAGTAGATTCATACAGAGATGTCTGCCAAAGCAGCATTGCATCAAAAGCTCCACCCCTTTTGTACATGCATGTTCTTGCTAAAAGACAAATAATTTTTTGAAGATCTCAATCACAATAAGGATGTAAAAACCAAAAATACAAATTCATTCTTTTATTTGTGTCAATCTTATCAAGCTCTCAATGTGCTTCCAGTTAATGTGATCTAAAATCAAAGTGTTTTAATTTTTTTCTCCCAAAAAATCATACAATCCATATTTTCCTATTAACAGAGCAGTTTCCCTCATCTCCCAGTACACTCTTTATATCTGTCTCCAAATTATTCCTCCATTTACCCTATCCCTGCTACATCCTCCCAAATGCCATTCCCAAGTCTTCCCAAGGCAGTTGCAGAGGGGAGTCTCAGAAACTCTTCTAAATTAACTGCTGTCTGTAACCTTAAATTATAAGAGTATCTCCAGGTTCAGAGGGGCTTTTCTGCAAAATGATAAATAGCTGGAGAGCCATGTTCATTTGGAAATTATTCCAGAACTAAAGATACCAGCAGAATACTCAATTAAAAGCATGGAAAAGAGTCCATTTGTGCAATGGAAACTATACATTGTCTAATGGTATTCTAATTTACAGAGCAACAGGAGAAAAATTTTCATTAAGAGGGGTAACAAAGAATCAAAGTTATTAATCAGATGTTCTTTTTAATGTATCTATATAAAAAATAATGAGTGATTTACAGATCTTTCTAATCAGAATCTGAGAAGTGAATATATAAAGGTGCTGTACAAAATAAACATTTATATCCAATACAACCATATTTTCTGAACATTCCAAGGCCACATTGCTAAATCATTATTATCAAGTTAAATACAGATATAAAGTTTCTGGAAAAAAGGGCTCACATCAAACAGAAGACAACAAAATAGGTCACATCATTAAATGGATAAACAGTATCTGAATAGTGGGAAAATAAAGTTATTTCAATTTTATTATTTTGATATTTCCGCAGTTTTCATTTAATATTATTTTGTGACAAAATATATAGAACCTTTTTGAAGGTTGCTTCATGATATTTGTCAAGTTAATGTACATACCGTAGTTTAACTCAGATATTTAATATTTTCACAGTAATATTCTATATTTGCATATACTTCCTACAGTAACTTTTGAGTTTGCAAATGATAAGAGCACACAATTAATACACATTAAAAAGCTGTATCAGATGACTTTTTTTTTCAAAAAAGTTGATGTCTTCTACAACTGATTTGTCTTAGTACTTCGTTCCAATAGAAATACTCAGATGTCCAAGTCTAAGGAATAGAGTTTTTAATTCAACTGCATCTGAACTGCAGTTTGAGCTATTATACAAACTATTTTCAAGAAATGGGAATCAATAAACAGTAATGGGGAGAATGTTATTGAAGAAGTTTAAAGCTCCATCATATGTACCTAAGTAAAATGAGTCTTAGAAATTTTGTCCAGAGCTATTACATATGGATTTTGCACATTGGTAAACTCACGTTCTATCATGGTTTATGTGAATGTCATATGTGGTCGTCATATGATGAATAATAGGTAGCTTTCAAGCTCTTTTGCTTTCCTGTGGGTCAAAATAGCTTCAATGACTTTAATCTACTGAATCTGTTTGCTTTAGGCCTAAACCTTTTCATTAGTCATTCTCATAGTCACTAACAGTTCTTTCTGGAAAGTCCATAGCTTTTTAATAGTTGACTGGCATGCTGATGTATCATCTTTTATTGGTCTGAATGTTTCTGATAAATTGGGCTAATAGAATTGGCACAAGAAGAAAATCATCTGCAAGCAACACTAGCACTTCCAAAGTGGCAGGCTGTATCCTCTTTGGAAACAGTTTGAAATTATGGGGGGGGGGATGTAGTTTCACAGAAGTTTTAATCCCTCTCAAAAATCCCTAAAAAATTAGAAGAGTTCATTGTTCTAGAGGTTGCCACTCCAATGACCTATACACCTGAAGAACTAATGTACTATACCCATAACATTCCTCCCGTTATGATAATCATGCACAAGCAAATGAGAAATTTCATAGAGACATTTTAAATTTGGAAGTACTTTTATATACAAACTTGGAAGCCAGTGTAACAGGCTTCTGTTAATAGGCACAAGGACAATACTTAAGAATTTTATTTTGGTGGATAAGTTCTGATTTATTTTGCTTGTTGGGATTTAAGATTTTAAAATGTTTGAGCAAGGCAACAAATGTTCAAGTATTTAGCCAGCATTGACCCAAAAAACAACCAACAGTAGGTGGAAATTCATTTGAATAGCAGACAGAAATCTAAGAAACATATGCATTGCACGTTTAATTTCTAATGTTAACGTGTTATAACAAGTATCAGGAAATAATTTGATTAGGTGCCTGAAATGTTTGCTCTCATAATTTCATTTCATCAAATGTGCTTTCCAAACTGCCCAATTCTAAGATTTAATTTGTATCACAGATAAAATATTAAAATCACCATAGAATAAAATAGTAAGCTGTCACATATTTATTGATAAAGGGCTACTATCTTTTTTACAGTTATTTTGCAAATTGAGAAGTTTGGGAAGGAAAGAAAAGATTTGTGAAAAAGGCAACTGAGTGTATGTTAACTTTCTGACTCTCCAGAGTCAAGAAAATCACACCCACCCTGCCTTTCCTTTAGCTGTGAGAACTTAGAAGTATTTCCTATGTAAACATGCAGCATGCCTGAGTAAACACCCATTTTAAAGAAAACCCTTTTCTGTGGCAGTGGAAAATGAAGGAAAAGATTCAATGGGCTACAGTAGATAACTTGGCACGAGAACAAGTAGTGAGTTATGATCCACTAATAGGCATTAAATAATGTTCATTAACATACAATACTATCAGAAAATCTTAGCAGTGCAACATCAGGAGCAGCAGGACACCATCTTCAAAGGAGACAAAAGACAACAGCTTTTGAAGAGTTTCTCATAAGCAATCCAAAAAGGTCCTTCATGCAGCCTAATAAAAGATCAAATCAAATGTACTTTCCATTCTGTCAATCACAGTGTCTAAAAAAAATATGAGTTTTCTGGGGAAAAGTTTATGACTACATTTAAAAACCTGATTAAAATATGTTCTTAAAAAAGTTGGTCATTCAAACCCGTTTGTTAGTCAAACCCATTGCTTTTGTGACTCGACTTGTACTTGGTACTTTCCAAGGTCCAGGAACTATTGTTTTCTTTACCGGAGAACTGTCGGATTTGGACATTCCATCGTCTTTGGTTTTATCAGATAGCTCCAAGTTATCTGTAAATTTGTTCAAGAAAAGAGGCTCATCAGCTTCAAGTCTAGAGTTTTTATCCACAGAAATCAGTGAATCATCAGGAAGACCTGACTTCTGAAATTGCTTAGAACTTTTCATATTCTCATCTTCCAAGATTTTCTTTCCAGGCTGATTAGTCTTAGAAAGTGAGAGAAACTGCTCTTCTACCTTGGCATACTGTATCTCTGAAGGACATTTTGAGTTCTTTGTAGATAAATTTGGCTTTGTTAGTTCGTTTGTGACTCCTAATTTTACCTTTTCAGTTTTTAACAGCCTACTAGAACTTATATCATTAGCAGCTGTTTTGCTTTGAAAGTCTAGGTTAAGTTTTTCTCTGCTTCTTTCTCTCTTTGGATATTTTTGGGGACTAACAGATTGATCTCTTTTCTCCTTGGCCAAGATTTTCTCTATATCAGCATTCTCAAAGATTCCCAAATTACCACTTTCATTTCTTTTTGGACTCTGTAAGTGGTCTAAGCAATTCTCAGCTAGATGTTTAGTTTCACTTTTCTTAGATGTATTGAATGGAAGTTGATTAGGAGCTCTGGAAGGACTATTGCTCAACTTCTGGGGACTAGCTGATCGGCTTTTACTGGCTGCATTGCCCGATGCTAATTGTGCAGTACTGTGCATCATTTTATTATCCGGAATGAAACTGTGGTCCCATTTGTTCACTTGCCTTTGTGGACAAACTGTTTTCTTTATCTCCAAATGGTTTTCCATTAAAGTGCTTTTCTTTTCAGGCACAGTATTCTTCAGTTTTTCTAGTTTCTCAGACATCTGGCATTTCATTAGAGCTTCTGATTCTGGCAAATGAGATGCTTCAGATGTGAAAGCAGAATGTGATGATGAGGGAAGTGAAGTCTGTTCACGATGTGTTACACTTGAGGATACTGGATTAAAATTATCCAGACCACCTACATCAAAATAAAAAATAATGCATAAGAGCAAAACAGTAAAAAGGTATTATCTGTATCTAAAACCCTTCCAATTGTAATGATTGAAATACACAAAAACAACTTACATTATAAGAACTAATATATTTAAGTATGTTATGAGAAAATTTAATTTCCAATGTATAATATAATGTATAATAAAACATATTATGGTAACCTATAATACAGGATAAGTATTCCTTCTGGAAACCTGGTTTCTATGTATCAATTCTTTCTCCTGCAACAGAAAATCTCTGAAACTACATATACTTTCTTTTAGTCAATTTCAGTTATACTTTTTCTGTATGACAATTAAAACACTATTTTTTCTCTTGCAGATAATATTCTCAGAATATCTATTTTGTTCTTCTTATCTATTAACTCTGTTTTAATTTATTTACCACTGATTTCCATTTTGTAGCACTGTGTGGATTACAGATCTTTTATTCTAAGAACTGCAATCATGTAGGGCCAATTAAATCCCAAATATGACCAATAGGGCACAAATCCTGACTAAATTAAACAGCTTGGCTATGTAAAGGATAACCACTAGATACTTAGTTCTCTTCTTCATCAATTTTTCATGTTGAGAGAGGGGAGAAATTGCCTCTCAGGTTTTCAAAAAATAGGACTGTCAAAAAGGAGACAAAATATAACAATGATGCCGAAGTATGTAGGAACTTTAATTAAAGATACATCAACAATACGTGTGTTCTAGGATGGAAAAAGTGACTGTTATAGCAAGTGGCCTCTGTCATTTCTAGTCCTTGGATAATGTACTAATATGTGGAATTGAGGATTTCTAAAATTGATTCCTCTATAACTTGTGGCCTACACTTATCACAACTCATGTCAAATGTAAACTAGCTGAGTGAAAAACTATTATTCAAAACAAATAAAAAGTGGCTAATCACAATACATGCCGATTTACCAAGTTTAAGGAAAGACCAAAGAAAGCCCTGAAAGCTTTAATGCTGCTCAGTTTTCACGTAGGAACACAAGCTGGAAGGAGCCAAACCTGAGGGAGGAAGAGAAAAAGCCCAGGACTATATACCAAAAATTACAGCAAAGAGTAAAAGAAATATATAATTTACAAGCAGAGTGTAAGAATATGAAAGAGACTATCTCAGCTGATTTGGATATTTCCAAATTCAGCATCCCATCAAAAGATTTTAGGATAGCCACCACAATTTAGGCTTTCTACATCCATTGGACACTATAAGTCCTTGAATTCCCTACCAGTATCAGTATATTGATTAAGAATTTTCACTAGAGATGGTGTCTCTATCTCCAATGCACCTGGAAGACACCAGGTTAACAAAAATCTGATCCGGAGAAATCTTAAAGATTGGTATAGGGTGGTTTTGCTCTTTTTAATATATTCATTTAAAAAGTCTAATTGGTCAAATAAAGCATACAAAGCAGGGAAAAGAGAGAAGATACAGTCCGTTAGCTTTTTATCTGGTGTAATAAGCAGAGAGAAGACACAATAGAATGTGTTTTCTAGCTATATGTATATGCTTTCCTGCATCAGCAGTGGGGAAGCTATCTGACACATAACCTGTATGTTGAGAAGCTCATACTATCCGTTTCCTTAAAATACCAGGTATCTAACACAGCTTTGAGTGCTTTTAAAGTGAAAAGATGTAAGCCACTCAGAGTCATTTTGATATAAGATGGGTAGCAAATAAATTCAATAAATAAATAAATAAATTTTAAATGAAGATTTAAAATCAAAGTTCACCTCCTACATATACTCCTGGAATTGAGATAAACTTTTAAGCCCATTGCCCCTTGCTAAATGAAGTGGGATAGATGGCTTCTGACAGGAGGGCATCTTCAGTGGCAGTATTCCAATTATTGCATCCTTTCCTCAAGTAGCATCTTTATCCCTGTACTATGGTCTTGTAAGCACCCTTACTTTCCTGTGCTCTTACATTTTTATTGTGATCTGTAGTCATTCAAGATATTTCTGAAATATTCATCAAGCTGGGTGCTGCAATAAAGTTACTCTGCACAATTTTAATTTTTATTATTGTTGAATTATTTTAGCTGTCAGTGTAAGCTCTCTGGAAAACAGTAGCTACAGGGTGAATTCGAACTTGTAAGTAAATATTTAAATGGGACATTTATAATTTTCTAGAGTTTGAACATCTAGTTATTCAAAATTATCAATAAATACATCTGTACTGTGCTGAATATATCAGCTGTAGCTCATATACTCAATAGTGGGTTCCCACCGTACCATGGTCTGGTATTAATCCAGTCCCTGGTCGCAAAAGGAGAAGAACTTTATTTCCTCCAGACTGAATCAATTCAATGGCTCGAGTATGGGTAATTCCTTGTGTTGGTTCACCATTGATTTCAACAATCTGGTCACCAACCTGAGGAGAAAAGCACCTTCATTAAGTTGTAAAACATATTTTCCTTGTTAGCATTTGTTTATACTTAAAAATTTTACATTATGTTATATTTAATTGAAACCCATTAATAATATTGACATTATCACAAATTTAGAATAATCCATAACAATACTTATTTTTAATAAAACCTTGATCCCCAGCAGGGACCACTCAGTTACTCTCCAGTTAATTCAAAAAGATTCAAGCTTTATGAATTGTCATAAGGCTACTGAAAGGCGAGAATAGAATAGAATAGAATAGAATAGAATAGAATAGAATAGAATAGAATAGAATAGAATAGAATAGAATAGAATAGAATAGAATAGAGCTGGAAGGGACCTTGGAGGTATTCTAGTCCAGCCCTCTGCTCAATCAGGAGAACCTATACCACCTCAGACAAATGACTGTCTAGCATCTTCTTAAAATCTCCAGTGATGGAGCGCCCATGATTTCTGAAGGCACGCTGTTCCACTGATTAATTGTCCTCACTGTCAGGAAGTTTCTCCTTAATTCCAGGTTGCTTTTCTCTTTGATTAGCTTCCAACCATTGTTTCTTGTCCTACCCTCTGGTGCTTTGGTGAATAACATGACCCCCTCTTCTTTGTGGCAGCCCCTCAAATACTGGAATACTGCTATCATGTTTCCCCTATTTCTTCTTTTCTTTAGACTAGCCAAACCCAAGTCCTGCAGCCATTTTTCATATGTTTTAGTCTCCAGGCCTTTGATCATCTTAGCTGCTCTTCTCTGAATTTTTTCCGAACTCTTAACATCTTTTTTGTGATATGGTGACCAAAATTGGCTGCAGTATCCCAGGTGTGATCTTACTAGGGTTTTATAAAGCAGTACTAATACTTTGCATGATTTTGATTCTATGCCTTTGTTTATACAACCCAGGACTATATTAGCTTTTTTGGTTGCTGCTGCACCCTGCTGGCTCACAGTCAAGTGATTGTCCACTAAGACTCCAAGGTCCCACTCAAGTTAATGTTTTTAAGCCAGGTCTCATCTAATCTGTACTTGTACCTTTGGTTTTTCCTGCCTAAATGTAAAACTTTGTTTTTCTCCACACTGAAACTCATTTTGTTGGATAGGGCCCATTGTTCAAGTTTGTCAAGATCTTTTTGGATCCTGAGTTTGTCTTCTGGGGTGTTGGTTACTCCTGCCAGTTTAGTGTCATCTGCAAATTTGATGAGTTCCCCTTCAATTCCCTCATCTAAGTCATTTATGAAGATATTGAAGAGTGTTGGACCTAAGACGGAACCCTGTGGTTACTTCTCTCTGTGTGGATGTAGGCTATATAGGCTAGCTATGATCTCGTTTATGAGGTTGGAGATTACTTAGAGATTGTATAAATGGCAATCTATATACTTACAAAAAACTAATGTGAAAGCCTGGATAACATTCCAGATGGCTAGAATAAATACATAATAGAAGGAAATATGCACACTTTTTCCCATTTATTATGGCAATCGGAGAATTTGGGAAGTATTCGGAAAAGATGGGATTCTAGAAAGAGAAAAAAAACTTTGGAAAGAAGCTGTGGGGAGATGATTGTATCCAACTGAAATATGAATTAGTGGGGTCTAAAAGGCTAGTTAAATTTCACTCCTGATGCTTATTTTCAGGCTCTATTTTCTCTCTGTAAAACATTGTCCACTATGTGTGAAACAAGAATTAAATGTTAAAATGTGAAACTAAGCTTCTACTGCTCAGCTCTACAGCTCAGCGAAGAAAAAGTGAAAAATCAGACTTGCAGTACTTCTAACTATTGAGTTTACAAACTTGAAAAGTAATCCTCAGTCTGGGAACTATCATATTAAATACTATTTATTTTCCTATCAGTAATTTCTATTTCTTTAGTTAAGGATGCTTAAGTGATTGCAAACTTAACATGAAGGTTCTGATGCTGATATGCAAGTCTTACAAAGCAAGAAAAAGAACATGATAGCACTCATGTTTGATGTATTATGGTTCTTGTCTATATAGTGGTTTCAACTGCTTTAAAACTCATCAAATTTGATACTCAGCTCATTTTGATAACAAAAAATTTGTATCAAACTAGAATTTGTCACTGTCAACTGCCTTATGACTCACTACATTATTCCTTATGGGAAAAACCTGTTGATACTCATGGCTTTTGGTACTCATCATACCTCTTGGAACTAATTAACAATGAATACTGAGGTACCACTGCAGTATGTCTGATCATTATATGAACCCCCAAAAATGTGAATACCACATGGGCCAAGAAAATGCGAACCAGATTCCTAAGAAAGATGACTAACTAATTATTTGCAATGGCATTAGCAGATCTAAGATCTGTACACAGGAGCATCTAGTTTAGCTAGTGCAATGAATTCTACGAGAAAGAAAAGAGTTTCCAGAAACAGGATTTTCGCTGAAGTTTATTAAGATGTTATAAGAAAAAAAGCACATTTTATTATCTGCTTAATGTACTACTTTTGTTCCAATGTGGGGGTACCCTCGATAAGCATGTACACTCTTAAATACTCTTATTATATGGACTGAACATAAAGAGATCTGGACAAAACTCCAATGTAATCCTTGAATTTGGTTACTGCCTCACTTTTCCTTCCATATTAGAGCAGATGTTTTAAAATGGTGACTATGTTCCAGTGAATTTGCATAATTACATTTTGTTAGATAGTATCTTTTCACAAAAAATATAACTGAATTTTCATGAGCAGAGTTAGTTCATTTAAATATTTCTATCTCAAGAATTTCCTCCTCCTATTGCCAAAGCTGGGTTACAGTAAACATGAGTATACGTACAAAATTTTGTGTGAAAATAACTATAAATTCACATTTAATGATAATGGCAGAGAATAGTATCAATGCTTATATATGGAAATATATTTTAAAATATCAAATTAATATTAAATTAGTTTTAAAAACAATAGGCGACCTATCCAACTAGGGCTAATACATACTTACATGAATTCTCCCATCTTTAATGGCAGATCCTTCCTCAGCAAGTCGAAGAATAAATAGCCCCATATTATATTCTTTTCCTCCACGAAGGCTAAATCCAAAGCCTCGAGGACCTCTCTCCAGTTCTACTGGATAACATCCAGGATTCTGTGCAAATAAAAGATTATGCAATTTAAAATTATATTGGAAAAGATTTTCAATTATTTTTTAGAAAAAAATTGATTTCTGAAATTCAAAGAAATTTTATTCAATTATTAATGTAATGATATTTGCTATGTTTGACATTTTAGTAATACCTGTACTAATTCCACATGTAAATTCTACTTTCCCTGTAGCAATAGCAATAGCACTTAAGACTTATATACCGGCTTCACAGTGCTTTACAGCCCTCTCTAAGCAGTTTACAAGAGTTAGCCTATTGCTCCCAACAATCTGGGTCCTTATTTTACCAACCTCAGAAAAATGGAAAGCTGAGTCAATCTTGGTCAGGATCGAACTCATGGCAGAGAACATAGTTAGCCTGCAAAACTGCATTCTAACTACTGCACCAGCATGACTCTGTAAATTTTAGAAAGCTATCACTTGCTGTTCCAAAAGGTTATAAACCTAGACTTTTATGCTTTTCCATAACTGAAGCATGAGCCAAAAATTCAGTTCAAAAATCCTGGCTAATGTCTTTGATAACATCTTATTCCTTTTTTTTTCTTTGTTACACACGGACATTTAGAATACTGAAAATTAGTGGGAGATAATGGCACTCATTTTTTCCACATTAAAATTTCAATACATAACAAAATGAAAATGGGGACATAATGTTAGGTATAAAATAAAGTGACGCAAGCATCTAGACTGATTTGTAGTGATCAAATTCCATGGGACCCATCTACCAAGGTATCAATTTTTCTCATTAAAATCATTAACAGAATTTCAGGATTATCTTAAGGCATGTTCTCTATATATTTTGCTGATATCCTGTCAAATTTCCAATATATACCTTATTAGAAATACTAACAAAATAGATAGAATCCCATCTTCAAAAACTAATTCATCATAAGGGTGAAGGCTTTTGCATCCCACGGACACTATAACTTATAGTGCTGAAAGTGTATTCTCCCAGAAAAATCACCCATCATAGGCAGGTCACAGATTAGGGGTAAGCTAAATATGATTAATTGAAGAAGGAAATGGTAAACTACTCAAATATTCTGCCAAGAAAAACAGATATTCATAAGCAGGACAATGTTGGAAGATAACCCCCTTGGAAGGTATCTAGTAAACTAAAAAGCATATCAGATGCTGTTCTGATCAGGAGCAAAAAGTGTGATGCTTCAAAATAATTTAACTAAAGCAATCTTTAGTTTCAAACATGGAAATGCCAAGATTAAATATTGACATTCTGAGAATCAATGAACTGAAATGGAATGAGTGACTTCGTATCAGAAGAGCATCAGATCTTCTATTGTGGACAAGAAAATCATAGAAGAAATAGAGTAGACATTATGATTAACAAAAGGAGTCAATACACACACTTACACATACACACACGGCTGATCTCTCAATTCTGGCAAAATCATATTTACCAGAACTGAAAAAGTCAAAAGCAACTGAATGACTAAATAATAATGTCCTAAAATCAGTCTTTCATGCTAGATGCGCAAAGATATTTAATGAACCTTCCTACAATATCGGGAATATTCCATTGACTATCCAATGTGCAAGTGATTAACATAACGTCCTTCCTATCTATTATTAGCAGAAGAGTTCAGTTCCCATATAACACAAAAAGTTTAATAGCTATATTTACATACCTGAGAATGTGTGCTCCCTCCAAGAGATGCAACAACTTCAGTTAATGAGAAGTGCTTGTAATTGTTGCATTGTTCTTTTCCGCTATCAGCTTCTGTAGCACCCCTGAAGTATAAGGAAGCATATGGATCATTATAAGGGCCTCTGTTGAGTTCTCCCTAAAGGAAGATTAGAATGAATTCCTAAAGGAATTTACCAAATATAAGCCAGGTTCCAAAGTTCAGCCATAAAAACATATTCTCCATATACAAAATTAAATGGGCCGTAGATATTCTTGTGCGGATTTCATTTCTTGTATTTCCTATTCAAATACTTTGAATTAACTTTGAACTCTAATTCATAACACTAAAGAATAAATTTTGAAATTGAAAGGACTGGCCAGAATGCACCACAATTTCTTAAGAGGAAATACTGATTTCCCATTAGTCCATTTCCTATCAGAATACAAACTATATTTTGAATGAAACTATTAATACTAGGATTTTAAAACAATGTGCCACCAATTATCTTTCAGTTTAAAATGCCATAGTTTACTAAAACAATCTGCAATGCCCTGAAGTAATTTTTATGTATTTGTAATGTATGAATTCTGTCAATGTTTATCATTTTCTCTCAAAAATGAATGTCCGTTTGTGAAAGTTGCACAAAACTATGATAAATTTCCATTATTTTTAATGGACATATTAAAACACCTGCATTTTATAAATATTTCAATACAAAAAAGAATAAATTTAAGGAAAATTGTACACAATAGATGCATTATTTCCAACTTTAAAAAATTGCAGAAATTTTTTGATAAAACTGAATATTATATCAATAACTATCACTAATCTGGGCCATATTAAGATTGAATGAAGTATCTAGTCAAGTAATTTTTTCTGAGATTATTAGAGCTACATATCAGAAGGAAGATATTCATTTATAACATCCAGTTTTATACCATGAATAATTATAACTTCTCACAGAAGCTCTTTAATCTTTTATCAGTTTTATTTTGTTCATTTTCCTCTTCCAGAGGATTTTTTTCTCTTTGGCATTCATTTAAATAATCTGCAGTTTGAAGTCTCTGATCCATTACTTATTATTACTGGCTTGAAATAAAAACAATCTTGTGGTATATTAATGATAAATTTATTACTGCAAAAGCTTTTGTAGTTTGCGTCATCAGATACATCATGACAAGGAAATTAATAGAGAAATGCCAAAAGAGGATAAATGCAGACTATTGTTTAAAAAATATATATACATACACATCAGGTAAGAAAAACATCATAGAAATATTTTTCTTCGCAATATGAACTAGAAAATTAGAAAATCCGAAGAACTGAAAAGTTCTGTTCCCCTGCTGTCTTTGCAAAAAAGAAGTTAGGTATATAGTTTCATTTCCATGTTTATTTGTGGTCTAAAAATGAAGTTTGTACCTGTCAGTAGACACAGAAGAAGCTGGAACTGGTCCAAGAACTCGATGCTGTACAATTGGACTTTGTCTGGCGGAGTTTGCTCCTGATGGGGGACCACGATGCTCTAATGAAGACACAAGTAGCTGATTAGATACACCAGGATATATTAGCAGTACTAAAATATTGCCAAGGACATTATTGACTTTCATTGTTTTATGTGTTATCAAATAATGTTGCCAGTCCTTGAAAAGGCCATTTACCAATATTGAAATGCATATTAAGAAACTGATTTATTAAGCTATGTGTGTAAATTTTTGATTATAATAATAACATCATACAAACTAAACTTAAAGAAAGGGATGGGATGGGAACAGAATGGAATAAAAAGTGCAAGAAAAAAGGGAAGAAAGATAAGAATATATATAATAATAAAAAGTGATCAAGTAAACTAATTTTACATTCCTTCCTTTTACTTCAAAAAATCTTAATCTTTAGTTCATTAAAAATTGTCATAGGATTTTATTTTTCTTAATTTATTCTTTATCCCATTGTACAGAGTTCTTCAAGGTTTTAACAAGCTTCTTTTATGAACCCAATAGGAAAAATATATCCTCTCTTGGGTTTATCATTGTATTTCCCTTTTAAATTTTAAAACCTCAGCCAGTTTTTTTTTTTTTTTTTGGTGGTTCCAATGAAAATAATTTTCTAAATCATTCTCCTGGCTCATCAGTTGTAAGTCCACTTTTGATACTATTTCTATCTTGTTAGATAAAATTTGTTCTACATTTGACATTTCTTCAATAACAACTTTTTGACAGAAGCAGAAAATATTACTGACATTGCCAATATTATGGCTACTGATTTCTGATTCCATTCTTCAAAAATCCTCTTCAGTATTTTCATTGTTTACTTTCATGTTGAAAGCCCCAGAGCACTTTTGTGGTTAATGGATCAGCCGGTGACATTACTGTTGCCCAAGGGACGCCCAGTTGTGGGTTCCTTTCATGTCCCCATTAAGTTGCCCACCGAAAAGGTATCCATTTACCTATTTATGGTCACCTGATTTTGAGCAGCTGGGTTGACCTGAGCAGGAGTATGATAGGCATACTCCTATGGCAGCAATTGAATCTCAAATGCGAGCCTGCCAATCATCAGCCCAGCATCCTAACCTTGTGAGCCATGTTATAATGTTTTGCAACATTTTATAGACTTTCTTCCGCTTGAATACTTTAGTTCCTTCTAGTGTCCAGTTTTTGAAATAATGAAATTGCTTACCAAAACAGACTCTATTTTCCACAATAATCTGTTTGTTCTTGATAATTACTTCCAAAATCTTATTATAAACATTTCACTCTAATCTTGCCAACTGCCAGCATAACATGGAAAACTGCTATCCTGAGGTCTCCTCATGAGGAACAGCACATGTGGACAATCTCCCATCTTCTTAACTGGAGAGGTTCAAGAAACTGGTCTACTCACTGCTTCCTTAGTCTTTACCATGGTCATATGCTCCACTTTAACAGACATATATTCAATTCCCCCGAACCTCCATGCCTATCAAGCTCCGGGCACAAACTATTCACTCTTACATGTACACACATGTATTCTCCTATTTCCTTCCAGAAATAGCAGCAAAAAAGCACACAAACAAGAAGGAGATGTATATTTTTGAAATATATTGCTGCATTGGAAAGTGGAAAAAAAAAAAAAACGAGAGAACAAAATTGGATGGCAATGAGAGCTAATTTGTGTGGCAGTTAAGGCAACAGGCTAGAACAGTGGTTCTCAACCTTTTTAATGCCGCGACTCCCAACCGGTCATAAGTCGAGGACTACTCAACCGGTCGTAAGTCGAGGACTACTCAACTGGTGCAGCACCGTTTGCAGAATGGGACTTTTGGCGGGCTCGGCAGGGCAGAGACAGCCTGGACAATTCCTATTGGCTTTTGAAAGCCAATAGAATTAGACTCTATTCAAGACAGTCTATTCTATTGGCTTTCAAAAGCCAATAGAATAAAAGGGAATAGCACAGCTAAGGAAAAGGGGAAAAAAATGGTGGACTGTGTTGTTTGGTGACCCCCGTGAAGTGGTTGTTCGACCCCAAATGGGGTCTTGACCCACAGGTTGAGAACCATTGGGCTAGAAACAAGAGGCTGGAAATTCTAATCCTGCTTTAGGCATAAAGCCAGTAGGAAAGTTTGGGCCAGTCACTCTCTTTCAGCCCTAGGAAGAAGGCAACAGCAAATCACTTTTGAAAATCCTGCCAAGAAAACTGCAGGGACTAGTCCAGGTAGTCAACAGGAATGAAGACTGACTTCACAGCAGAGCAAAGCAGAGCAGCCAGAGCACAGTATGATAGATAGACAAAATAGACATGTATTACAAAAATATTACATTTATTTGGCAAATAACATTTTCCAAGCAATGGCTAACTATAAAATTAATATTTAAAGGCATTCATCTATCCTGCTCTATGGAGTAGAGAGTTGGTCTCTGACAGAAGGCTACCTGAAAAGACTAGAAGCATTTGAAATGTGGATTTACAGGCGGCTGTTACGTATAAGCTGGATTCACAAGATCAGTAATGAGGAGGTGATAAGCCACCTGGGAAAGCCAAGGGAAATCATCAAAAGAATTAAAAAATGAAAATTAGAATATTTCGGACATGCGGTGCGACACCCAGAAAAATACGGTATACTCCATTTAATCCTCCAGGAAAGATTGAAGGCAAACGAGGTCCAGGCAGTAGAAGAAGATCATGGCGTCAAAATCTAAGGGATTGGTTTGGACAAAACTCAGCAGCACTTTTTCGTGCGGCTGCTGATAAAAACAGGATTGCCAACACAATCGCCAACATCCGATAACGGATATGGCACAAGAAAAAGAAGATTCATCAGCAGAGTTTTCTGCAGTCATCATTTCTTACCTGGTCACTTCCTTTAAACAGTTTCTACTACCTTATCAGCCAATGTAAATAAAAACTTCTCAATTCACCAGCAATTTAAAAATATCCTTATTTAACTATCTGATAAATAGGGCAACTCACAGAAAGTCGTTATCTGAATTACAATATATCTATTGAATCAGATTCTATTTTGTAATCAGTTTTATTTCACAATATTGTCTGCCTTTTGCCTTTCACAGTGATACTTCAGAAAACAGACATTTGGGTAAACTTCTAAGGTTCTGCATCTTGGTACTAATAAGAAATGAAATATTACGTGGCAGTACTTCAAACCCAGAGGCAAATAAACCAGAATATTCACATTTTATCTTTTTTAGTTTTAGATATTACTTTCAATTAAAAAAATAAAATAAAAAGATTATAAAGTTAAAATCTTTAAATTACTTGCATAAAAAATGTCCAGGCTTACCAAGTAACAAATAAATGATTTAATATTCTATTTTATAGAATGCAACATCGTAAAATGCATGTTTTAAATATGAAACTGGAAAATGAATTTTTGATATAATTATTATTCAGAACGATAGAAACCATCCTCCTGGCAAAATAGTCAGAGCAAGCTTCATTATACAACTGACAGTAGTCAGTTGAAAAGCAGTCTTTCTTTAAAAAAAAACAAACCCCTAAATTTGAAAACTAAATTTGAAAAGCACTTTAAAAAAAATACACTAAATTTGAAAACACTAAATTTGAAAATAAACTGTTTTTATATATTTATACTGATTATGTGTTCAGGCAACAATTCTTGTCAGTGTAGAATGCTAAAAGAAACAGATCAAGGCAGTAGCAAATCCCCTCTTACCAAATACTGATAACCGAAGGATGGGAGAAATGAAAAGCATACATGCTCCTTGAAGCTACTATTTATATCTAACAGTATTTTCTGACTAAAAAGAGAAAACTGGATAATTATTCGGGATAGATGTAGTTGAGGAAAAGAGAGTGTCACTGTTTAGTTTCACACTCATTAATGCTTGTCTCTTTATAGAAGACAAGAATTTCTGATGAGAGATTATTTACATTCCAAATATAAAAACAAAAGGCTCCCTATAATTATCTCTCTTCTAATTACATGATGACGATAAAACTTAACAGAGGATCTGCAATGGATCTGCAATGAAAATATTTTATATGATAAATTGCAACAACTTTGATAGCCAGACCCCATCCTTTGAAGACTTTGTAAGTTAGCATCCACTATCTCAAACTGTCCCTGAAAAGGACTAATTAGCAGAATCAACCATTGAAATATAGCCTTTGTAGTTTTCCTGGTCAAATAATTTAAGAGACTTCTAAATTGACATTTCCAAGACCTTTTTGGAAGCAGCCACTATAAAATGCCTAAAGATGAATAATTAGTGCAAGCTAATTAACATATCAATGCTGAAATGAATTTACTAAGAAATGGTACTGAATTATAGTTTACTAGTCTGTACATGTAGTTTATTAGTGGCTTCAGATTATTATTCAACATCTCTACATTGTACCTGATGAACTAAGACAACTGTCAGTTACTGTTTCTTTCTAATTTTTTTCAAATAATTTCACTCGTTTCTTACACAACTTCAACATCATGTGGGAATAATACAGAATTTTGCAGGTCTCCAAAAATACAATAGGACCAAGCAGAAATCCTTAAATATCTATCTGATTGCCTAGCTGAGAATGAGCCATTAGAGTACCCTCAACCTTCAACCTAGCTAACATATGCAAAAATATTTTTACAACTAATGTTATTAAAATACTGAGATTGCCACCATGTGGAAGACATGCAACTTCAGTGAGCAGCAACGTAACAGTAATGACCATTCTTACCTTCTTCAGCAATAACAGTGAGTGTGACAGTATTCCCTGCATCTTTGATCAGCTGCACAATATTTTCATGTGACAAGTCGATGATTGATTGTCCATTCACTGCAGAAATTCTGTCTCCTACTTTCAGTCTTCCACAATGATCAGCTGGACTGCCATCAATAACACGTCCAATCTTATGAGGAATCACTAGGAAATGAACAAAGTAATATTCTGTATCACACATTACCAGAAGCTTTATTTTATTATCATTTATGCAAGTCACAGCACAATTGCATAGGAATGTCACCAGATTCATAACTTGATATTAATATTTATAGTCTGATTTATCTGTATTTAGAATTATTTTGGTTTTACACTGGCTAAATTATTTCGCAACTACTTCTAGAATGATGGTCTTGTAAAGATGATAAAACTACTGTAACAGATTTTTAACTCTTTCCTACAATTATAAAAAACCTGGATTTCCTTGGGAAAAAGAAGAGAATTATTTTAAATTAAATCTGTACAGTGATTTAATTTAAATTAATTAAATTACAATTGAGGAGGGAGGGGGCAAACTTCACAATCTTTAGAACCTAATTCCAAGCAAAAATCAATAGATAATCAATCATAAAAGGAGGCAGGGAGTAAAGAGAAAGAAGAAAAACTCAGATGCAAAGTAAGAGATAGGAAGCATACTCAGAGTCAGCACAAAGAATTAAAACGCCTATACACTAATGCTCAAAGTTTAGGGAACAAACAGGATGAACTTTAAATACTAGTAGTACATAAGGCCAAGTATGTTATAGTTGTCATTACAGAAACTTGGTGGGATGAAACTCACGACTGAAATGTACTGATAAAAAGATTCAAACTATTCAAAAGAAACTGATCTAACAAAAGAGGACGTGAAGTTGCATTATATATTAGAGATCACTTCCTCTCTACAGAGATGCACACAAGAAAGGATAAAAGCTTTCTAGAATGCATATTGGTCAACATACAAAGAAAAAAGAATGGCATTGCCATAGGTGTATACTGCAGGCCATCCAACCAAGCAGAAGAAATAGATGAACTTTTTGTTAATCAGTTAACCAATGTATGTAGGAAACACACTACAATATTCATGGGGGACTTTTACCCTGACATGAACTGGGACAGAAACTCTGTAACATGTGGGAGATCAAACAGATTCCTGACCCACCTAGCTGACAATCTCATCACCCAAAAGGTGGAGAAGGCAACTAGAGGGGCAGCTATATGGGACTTTATTCTTACCAAAAGCAAAAAAGTGACAGAGGGAATTGAAGTTGCAGGAACTTTAGGGGAGAGTGACCATATATTAGAATTCAATATAAAACAGACATAAGCAACAGAACATAATCAAACCAGTGTCTTAGACCTTAAAAGAGCTAATTTTAACAGAGAGAGCTTGGGAAGGTTTCCATGGATGAAAATCTTAAAGGGAAATCAACTCAAGAAGCTTGGGAAACTCTGAAAAATACAATTATAAAAGCCCAGTCCAGTTCAATACCAGTAAAAAAGAAAAACAAGAAAACCAACTGAGAAAAAAGGGATAAGTACAAAAAAATGGAAAGAGGCACACATAACTAAGGCAGAATAGAAACAAATAGACTGAATAAATGTCAAAAACAATTTAAAAAGTTTCTTTTAACACATAAAAAACAAGAAAAATGTCAAAGAAACACCTGATCCATTAATGGGAGAAGATGGCAAAGAAGTAACAGATAATAGAGAGAAAGCAGAACTGTTTAATTCATACTTTGCATCTGTCTCCATGTAGAAACAAAACAATACTCAACTTACCAAAAACAGAACTATAAATGACTATTAATGCAAATTAAAACATGCAAAAATAAGATAAGAGAACACTTGTCAGCTCTAGATGGATTCAAATTATTGGGTCCTGACGGACTACATCCCAGAGTTCTGAAGAAACTGGCAGTCGTGATTTCAGAACCATTTAAACATATCTTTCAAAGTTCTTGGAGCAACGGAGAACTACCTGAGGACTGGAAAAGAGCTGATGTAGTTCTCATCTTCAAAAAAAAAAAAAAAAAAAGGGGGGGGGAAACAGATCCAGGAAATTACAGATTAATCAGTCTGATATCAATACCTAGGAAGATCTTGCAAAAGATAATCAACCAACAAATCTGTGAACACCTATAAGCAAAAAAGTTATAACCAGTAGCCAAAATGGGTTTGTCAAAACTGATCAAGGAGAGAAGAAACTTAGAACTGAGGAGAAACTTCCTGACAGTTAGAACAATTAACCAATGGAACAATCTGCCTCCAGAAGCAGTGAATGCTCCAACACTGGAAGTTTTTAAGAGACTGGACAGCCATTTGTCTGAAACGGTGTAGGATTCCTGCCTGAGCAGAGGGTTGGACTTGATGACCTCCAAGATCCCTTCCAACATTATTATTATTATGGATCATCGCACAGTCAGCCAGATGTTCAGACTGGATTTGGCATTTTGTCTACCTATCAAGTCCAAACAAATCTTATTTCATTCTTTGACAAAGTGACTAAATTAGTGGATCAGTGAAATGTTGTGGACATAATATACTTGGATTTCAGTAAAGCATTTGATAAAGTAGACCACAACCTACTTCTTGGCAAGCTAGAAAAATGTAGGATAGGTAGCACCATCATCAGATGGATCTGTAATTGGCTGACAAATCATACTCAATGTGTAGTCCTCAATGGAACTACATCTACACGGAGGGAAGTAAACAGTGGGGTACCCCAAGGTTCTGTCTGGGCCCAATACTCTTCAATATCTTTATAAACAATCTAGATGAGGAACTAGAAGGGGAACTCATCAAATTTGCAGATGACACTAAGCTGGCAACAATAGCCAACACAGGAAAAGACAAGCTCAAGATCCAAAAAGATCTTGACAGACTTGAACACTGGGCCCTAACTAACAAAATGAAATTCAACATATTTAAAAGTAAGGTTTTACACTTAGGCAAGAAAAACCAACAGTATAAGTATAGGATAAGTGAAACATGGCTTAATGCCAGTAATTGTGAGAGGGATTTTGATTAGGGGGCTGGTGGTTAAAACATACGAAGAATGGTTACAGGAATTGGGTATGTCTAGCCTAATGAAAAGAAGGATTAGAGGAGACATGGTAGCAGTGTTCCAATATTTGGGGGGCTCCTAGAAAGATGAGGGAGGGTCAAGCTATTTTCCAAAGCACCAAAAGGCAAGATGAAAAACAATGGATGGAAACTAACCAAGAGAAGAAACCTAGAACTAAGGAGATGTTTCCTAATAGTGAGAGCAGTCAACCAATGGAACAACTTGCCTTCAGAAGTTGTGGATGTTGCCTCACTGGAGGCTTTCAAAAAGAGACTGGACAATCATTTATCTGAAATGGTATAGGGTCTCCTGATTGAGCAGGGGATTGGACTAGAAGACCTCCAAGGCCCTTCCCAACACTATTATTTTATGTTCTATGTTCAGTATTGCAGATATGTAGAGACTCTGACAAAAAACCAGGGGAATGTTGTAATACACATCTACTCCATAGAAAAAGCTCCAACATATTTGAATATTTTTATAATAGAGTCATCTCTGCCAAATGGGCGGCATACAAGTTTAATAAATAAAAAGAATATTTAAATAAAAAGACTAATAAGAAAAAAGTATTATCAGAACATCTGAATACTAACACAGCCCTATAAGATTAATGTCTTCATGAAGATAAATGATGAAAAAACTTTTAGTGACCAAAGTTACAACGCCCTGAAAAAATGATTTATGACCATTTTTCACATTTACAATCTTTGTGGCATCTCAATGGACTACAGAATAACGCAATTTAGTTCTTCTTAAAAATCCAGATAAATATTCTTCAGACAGCCTGGCATTATTTAACTAGACTACGACACTATTTACCCAATATTTAAACATTTTTCTTCAACAGTAAATATTTGTAAAATTAAATTATGTCACATTTGTTTGTGGTAGCCATACACTGTAATAATATATGGGAACAACTAGCTATGTTTCTCTAACATATTCTTTATCTTTAAGTATATAGATATAATTTGTATTAAGACTTTATAGTTTTAGTCTTTAAAGAAGGTCATTAATGGTGGTAGATGCATAACAAAAAGCAACCAATTGTTGATATGCACAGTCTTAGAACTGTTAATTCTATATGAACAAGGATGTGTAGAGGCTTGATGTTATTACATTGAAATAAAATGAAAAAGTTGATACTTAAAAGTGCTACTAGACTACTTAGCAACTCTTCAAGTAGCATCTAACATTATTCAAGTCTGACAAGTCTACAGCCAAAGTTATTTTTGTTAATTATAATTATGGTGTTAAGTACAGACATTAACACTTGAAATCATCTTGGAAATACACTGAAAGTTAGTGGAAGCTGTTCGAAATAGGAATGATTATGTGGCTAGCTCAGTTGAAAGTACAGGTAATCCTTGACTTTTGAGCACAGTTAAGCCCAAAATTTGTAAAAACACTTTCACAAGTATTAGTTAGTACTAATTAGTTAGTACTAATTAGTTAGTATCCTGGGAATGAAATCAAAGTAGGACCTATCTACAACTGCATTGTCTTGTATGCACAGTTATAAAGGGAGATAAGCAGCTGCAAGGATTCATCAGAATCAAGCCTTCCTCTACTATGGACCTCCAAAGCTTTGCAAATATAAATGTTGGGAAAATAATTGAATAAATATGTTCAAAGGTTTGTACAGTGAAAACAAACAACTCTAACTGAAGTACTATAATGAACAATGCTGGCACCTCATCCTACTTACCACCACGTGGTGGTTTATTCTTTGAGGTAAGGATCACAAAACCAAATCCTTCATTCTCCTTTCGTTGCAGTACTACATCATAAGCTTCTGGGAACCGTTTGTTGATTATCTCTTCTCGGTTAAGTCTAGGAGAGCCACTCTGGGAGATGAAAGGAACTTCAGATGTTATTTCTTCTTCTGGTTGTTTATCAGCTAGAAACACCATAAACAGAAACAAGTAAGCAAAAATGTTGATCTAAGCAAACATATATTATTGATAATCTGGATGTACAGAGCACTCAAAATTTGAACTAATTTCAGAGATGTAACCCAAAACACATATATTCAATTTTATTCAAAAAGAATTAATAAAGATATGCTATGTTAAGTTTAGCAACAGAAATAACTTTTTTTCCAAACTGCTGCATACATTTTAACCCATTTTCAATGGAAGAATTACCAGCAAGTAATTTGAAAACTAGTTACTAATCTGAGCACTCATTAAACATTTAGAGACAAAAATCCATAAAGTATTCCTATTTAAAATATATATCATTTGTCTCCCTAAGTGGGTAAACAATTTTGTTGCAAATACATCTCCTTATAATAAAAAGGTCTTTCATTTGTCCTCAGATACTTTCACTGGAATTTTCATATTGTTGCATAAATCTGGGTACAGGTAGTCCTCCACTTACAGCCATTTATTTAGTGACTGTTTGAAGTTACAAGAGCAGTGAAAAAACTGACCAAATTTAGATACTTGGCAACTGACATGTATTTATGATGGCTGTAGTGTCCCAGGGTCATGGGCTCATATTTTGTGATCTTCTAATAAGCAAGTCAATTGGGAAACCAGATTCACTTAACAACCATGTTACTAACTTAACTACCGCATGATTCACTTAACAACTCTGGCAAGAAAGGTCTTAAAATAGGATAAAACTCACTTAATAACTGTCTTTCTTAGCAACTGACATTTTGGGCTCAATTGTGGTTATAAGTAGAGGATTGCCAATATTTGAATGGTGGATATAGCAAATTTAACATCCTGTCCCTTAAACCCTTGGAGCATTAAGTTTTTATTTTCCCTTTGCATGGCTGGTTGGAATGTATGTTACAGTGTTTTTGACAATTTTCCCAGCTCCTCTGAGGCCACATTATTCTCCTTACAGAGAGGGAATTGGAGGATAATGACAATCAGTCAGCCATGCCAATATCCCACTATAGAGAGGCCTTGGTTAATGATCCCTTGTTCAGTGATTGTTTAAAATTACAACAGAAGGAATGACCACACAGATCCTTTTAATATCTCAATTACTGGATAATAATAAAGAAAGAAATGACTCATATTTACAGATTACACAGTGTCTAAGAACTTACAGATTACACAGTGTTTAAGAACTTATCCCATAATGGAAACCTTTTTTAAAATACAAGCTGTGGTTTACTGGGCTCTAGCAAGCCAGCCCAGTAAACCACGGACCAGTTATATCAATCCTGAACCAAGTGAAAGTGATGTGCAGTAACTATTTAAACATGGGCATGTTTGCTTTGATGGAAATTTTTGAGCTAGTGATCCATATTTAATTCAATGTGATCAATTTTATATATGGATTATTTTTTGTGGCAAATTTATGTTTCTCTTCTGTTATAAGTTAAAGGCAGCTTATAAAAATACTATTAAGACTATTAATAGAAACAGAAAACAGAATTTATATTTAAAATCAAATCCGAATGTGCAAAATGGTTCATGCATGAATTATCCCATGAAGAAAATAGCTGCTTTAGGGTAGTTTGTGTCTGAACTGAAATATATACATTTGGACTGCTATAGAACAAAATGATGCCATTTTGCTATGGATAGACATTGAAATGTAAAAGTATTCTGGGCAAAAAGTGTTTTGGTGGGAGGAGGAAGAATGTGAAAAAGTCAAGGACACCCATAGTTTTAGGACCTGAGGAGGGAGAGAAAAGAAGATACTAAGACTAAGTGGACAGGTTGGCAGGCCAGCCGGTGGGACATCTTGAGTTTGCACATCTGAGGAATAGCAAGAAGGAAGAGAAATGAAGACAATGGGAATATTGGGCAAGAAAGACGTATTGCCTCTGAGGAAAAAACAGGATGGCATTGTGATTCTTTGCCACATATAGACATTTAGGGATTTCTTCAGGTTTTGTTTTGGCCAAAACTAGGAATTAAAAATTTTGGATTTTGTTTCTTACAAACCATTACAAACTGAATTAGTGCAGCAAGATCTCCATAATATAATGCCTTGGTTTCAGGTTTAAAACAATTTTCTGTTTCAGGCACTCTTCTAATAAAAGGACATCATATTAAAAATGTGTAACAGATATTATGGCAGTGATAGTCCTATGAGCCCCTTGCAATTAAACTACCATTTTAAACTACAATAAACTGTAAGCTACAGATGGTCTGCTTAATAACCACTCTGTCAGTGATTATTTTAATGTATGACAGCACTGAAAGGGTAGTATTTACAACCACTCCAAAGTTCTGGCCATTGTAGCATCCCCATGATCATGTGATTGCAATCTGGATGCTCAGCAACCAGCTTGCAATTACAACATTGTAGCATCCTGTGATAATGGCACATTAGCATGGATTGGCAACAGGTTTTTTTATAGTGTTTTATAGTTTTAAAATGATTGTGTGTGTGTGTGTGTGTGTGTGTGTGTGTGTGTATCTAACATCAATGCTAGATCCATAATAACCTCAAGATTGGAAACTTGATCATTAAGGAGAACTGCAATCCTATACAGAACAGGTCTATGTTCCCAATCCTAAAAACCAACAATGAGAATAAATGATAATGCACATACTATGCCCACTACCAGACTGTGGCCACTTGAGTGACTGGTTGGTGCATGTATGCACAGCCGCACTTATGCGAGTGTTGTGGGTGTTTGCAGCCCCCTCAAAAAAGCGTCACAGGTGTTTGTGGCCCCACATAAAAGTACTCCCGTCGTGGGTACGTGCATTAACCCCCCCTGACAAAACCATCCCTTCTTTCTCCCCTCCCATTTCAGGCTACCAACCCCGAAAGGTTGGGGAACTCTGCTTTATGACACTGTGTCACAAAACATCTCTTTTGAAACTTGTATAGTGCTACCATGTGGTATTGTCTATTTTTTAATCACATCTCATTTTTGTTTTCATTCAACCCATTTAATATTGTTGGTAACATGAACAGACAAATGTAATGATTCTATAATTCCAGAGATATCTTGTTGGAGAGATTGTCAGCATAGAAATTTGATGAGTGGATGGATGGATATATAGATAGGTAGGTAGGTAGGTAGGTAGATAGGTAGGTAGATAGAAATAAATATGGAATTACACATTTGCGTTAATCCTACCATGATACAAAGTAGTACCAAGTGCAACAGTATAGGCTTAATTAATAAGACATGCACATACCACCAAAGTAGATTTTCCTGCGAACGGTCAGCAACACCTGTCCATTTCGTGCAGCACTTGTCATTAAATCCAGAACTTGCTTATGTGATTTCCCTTTCACTGGGATTCCATCAATGCATACAAGCTCATCAGCAGCACGGAGTCTACCATCTTTCTCTGCTGCTCCCAGTGGGATGATTGCGCCAATGTAGATCTAAAGCAATAAGGGGTAATTATAGACTTTAAGACAAAATAAGGAAAACAGATCTGACCTAGGTCTGAGTTGGCCAGAATCTCACATATTATTATGTTTAAAAATGAAGTATATGTATATGCTTGTGATCAATGGGAGTCTAAACGGAAGATGGATAAATAAAATTTCAGATAAATAAATATGCAATTCATAGATTGAAGTCTTAGACTTTACAAGAACCTGTGCACCAAAATCCAGTAAATTATTTATAACTGTGATTTGTTTGTAAGCAGGTTACATCAGTAATTACAATATACTGTATAGATTGTCATTTAAGTTGGATTTAAAATGAGATAATGATCTGTGAAAAAAGTTGTCTCACCTTATCTTTTATTTTTATCATTAAAAAAATTGAAGGGAGCATATTACAATCCAAAATACCAACCTTTAATATATTTATTTGCAGGAATACTTGGAGTTTCACAAGTTCTCAATAAGATGAATACATGCACTAGTGTATGCTACAATGTACAAGAATTTTGAGATTGCTAAATATTCACTATGGCAATTATATTAGGAATAAACTGATCTTCCATGGCAGACATTTTGTGAGTGTGCCCATCAGATGTTCTTAAAACCCCAAATGTGCCTCTGCTTCAGAAACAATAAGGGTGTGGAATCTATAATCCACGAGGAGTCTCCTCAATCCTAGCCAATGTGAATAATTAATAGGAAAAGGAAGAGTTGTAGGTCAATATTCCAAATCTACGTATTTGCCATCCTTGATTTGCAGGAAATTTTGTGCATGTCCCTCATAACCCACTATTATTATTATGTAAAACTCTTGGAAAACATAGTGGATAAATTTAAATCAAACCACTCATTTTGCATTTTCAAAGTTTTATATTATACTGAAGAATGGTCATGTAGAATAACTGAGAATACTCCTAGGCTTTTCAGAGCAATCTTTCCCACTCTAGCATCTTACCACACATTGCAAAGCACTATTTGAAAGTCGGGGAACATTCTGGAGCTGTACATGATGCAACCTTACGTGTTTTGGGAATAATCATTTAAATTCCTCTCATATTCATGCACACTGAAAAATGGTTTTGCTCATATATCAAGCTCTGTGGATACTGGTTTTAATTTAGAAAACAGGCCAGCAATACACATAGGCCTCACTTAATGATTACCTGATTTGGTAACTGTTCAAAGTTATGACTATGCTAAAAAACAAGTAAAAAAACAAAAAGAAAACCAATCAGTCTTCGGAATTATGACATTTGTAGCATTTTTCTGCTCTTATTTTCACTTACATTCATTCCATACAAAGGTTTCCTCAAAGAGAAAGATATGCCTCTCCCCATGGACCCACACCTTCCTTTCCTTGATCTTCCTCTGCTTACACAAACTCTCATCCCCTTTCCCTTGGCCTCCCTGCATTTGCATAGATAGACCCATGGCTACCTTTCCTCAGTGTCTCTGTACTCACACTGATCCGTGCCATCCTTCCCTCAAGCCTTCCTGTGCTAACATTGCATTGCAGCATTCCTCTCCCCCAGGGTCTGCACCACACCACTCCTCTGTGGCACCCAAGCATCCTTACCCTGGACTCCCACTGCCTTCTGCTTAACAACCCACATATCTTGGAGTTATAATGGCAAATGGAGCTGCCTTGATTGCCATCACTAGGTGATTGGCAGTTTAAATCCTGCTATAGTACCTCACCATGGTGGGAGGTGTTCCCAGAAAGAATGAACTAATAACAAGAGTGTGTACACAAAGAGTAAGCATCCCCAGAAGGACCTCCCAGCTGTCCAGTTAAAGCATATATTGGGCAACAGAAATATAGGTAGATATTAGAGGCACATTATCACTTTACTGACAATCTCAGTCATTATTACATACTGTGTGGGAGAAGGCAATCTTAAAGCATTCTTATATTTTATAAAGAAAATCACATGGATAGACAAGCTAAGGAGGCTGACAATATAATGCCACAGAAAACTGGATGCTATTGAGAAAGGAGAGGATCTCTTGGAGTATAAATAGTGTTTATGATGCAGTTAGTTTAAAGCCTTCAGAATATCTAGCTGTTGACATTCCCATGCAGAAAAAAAGAAAATTCTTAACCTGCAAAGACAAAATCATAATGGCAACATGGAGCATTATCTGAAATGTCACCTGTAAAGTCAGGTTGTGGATACAGTAGTCTTTTCTGGAGAAGACCTATCTAGGATTTTTCTAAGATAGACACTGACTTGATGGCCCATAAATGATCAATTCAAATATAAAGTAATAAATACTTGACTTACTGACTGATCTGGACCATCTCCTCCAAGAACTCGGAAACCAAACCCAGATTCTTGCTTTCGAAGGAAAACATCTAAATCTTTTGTGTTTGGAGCTAGTAAAAATGGACGGGAAAGATATTTGTTAACAAGGGAGAACTATGTTTGGCCATTTAAAAACAGTATACACAAAATTTAAAACTAGATCAGGTTATTCACTTAGAAGCAAATTACTTTCTAAAGATATTGTAAATAACATGGTTAACACACCTGCAAAATTAAATCATGAGTTAGAATGATTAACACTTCATCTGCAAAGCACAAATGTTTGACAAAATTCTGCCTGTTTGAACACATGGGATTATTTAAATAAACAAGATCTTTTTTAGTCTTTATGGTAATTCAGTTCTAGAAGTTTCAAACTACTAACACATACTTTATTAGATCCATATAAAAACCAAACAAAATCTAATATGTACAGGTGATCCTTGACTTACGACCACAATTGGATTCTGACTGTCACAAGCTGATGCAGTCATAAAATGAGATGTCCTGTGACCACACTGATTTAGATAGCAATCTCAGAACTTTCCACTGTGGTCATTAATCAAGAATAGTGGGTCATTAAGCGAATATTCATATTATTATTATTTTTCCTTTCTTGTATTTCTTTTACTATTTGTTAAAAGTTTTTTAACATGCTCTTTTCTTCATTCTCTTGGCAATGTATGTATCTTCATTAATATTATCTTTGTGTTTTGCTCCTTTTTTGTTATTAATTAAAAATCAATCTATCAATAAAAATGAGTACCTATCCCAATCCAAGTCCTTCCTGGTTTGGTCTCTCCCAGCCTTGAGCCTCAGTAAGGTAAGTGCCCACACCCGCCTATCTCCCCCTCATCTTTCCCTTTGACTACCATGCACTCTGCCTTGCAGGGAGACAAACAGCCCCAGAACAGCCCCATATGGCTTTGCAGTTGCTTGCCATTTCCCAGAAAGCCTTAGCTCTCCCACCCCACACAGCAAGTTAGCAAGCATTCATTTGCCCAGCTGCTTCTTTGCCCAGTTTCCCACACCAACCTTTCACCTTTTGTGCTTACTTGCTGCAGCTGAAACAGAAGCATCGCACTGCCTTTGCTGCTTCCTTTTTGGATCTGTGACTGCCAGGCTACTCCAGTGTTCCAACTTCTCCAGGTTGCTTTACCTGCTCCTCAGTCACTGCAGCAATGTGATGCCAAGCGGCAGCCCCCATGAAGCCCCCAGCAAGCATTCAATCCCCCAACTGCTTTCTCTCCCAGTTCATTACACTGATATTTTGGACTCAACTACCTTAGGTAAAGCAAAAGCAACTTTGCTATCTTTGCTGTCTCCTTTTTGGATCCAGCTTCTCTTCCAAATGTTTTCTACATGTGACTCTCTGAGCCTTTGAAACACTGCTTCGTAACACAATCCTGTCTTTGGAAAGCTACACTGTCTTCAAAATGCTTTCCAAAGACAACACAACTTTCTGAAGACAGTGCAGCTTTATGAAAAAAATATTCAGAATGATAGAACAGCTTTACAAAGGCAACATACTTTTATAAAGACAGTGCAACACTGGAAGGCTCAGGGAACCACAGGCAGGAAATATATGAAAAGAAGATAGCAAAGGTACTTCTGCTTCAGATGCTGGGAACAAAAAGTGAAAGGTCACTATATATTGATTCCCATTACAGTGTGTTCTCAAAAACAACAGTTGGTACTTATTAATCTGACATATTCTGTCTTGCAAACTACATGGACCCTAAAAACAGAATTTATTATTTTAGGTTCCTAGGCAGCACAGTATAGGTAGTTCCCATTTAGTATCCACTATTGGGACCTACAGCTCTGTCGTTAAGCAGTGATTACTAAGTGCTAAATCATGTGACCACTCTCCCAGCCTTTGGAATGCTCATCTGACACTGGGATAATTAAGCAAGGGGATTAATGTTTGTATTTATAGTCACTGGAAATGAAGGGATTACAAGAGAGTAAGCAGACACACACAATGGGGGACACAGATTTAAAGCAATGCAATGATGTTGGCAGTTCAAAGCCTACTTTGGGCTGGGAGCCATGAGTGTGCTACACAAATAGCTTGGTATATTCCCTTGCTTACTCTCTTCCTCTCAAATCTCTCTACTCAGCTGCGGGGAGAGGGAGAAAAATATCAAGTGATTTCTATAGGCAATCTCCCCTTGGTCTGATCCGTCTTCTCTCCAATATAGAGCAGAAAGACTGGGAAAAGGGGATTACAGAAAAGTAAGCAAGCACGCAATAGGGAAATTGGGAGGAGAACAATAAGTCAGGCACCAGACAACATATACTGATTGTAATGGCAATCACATGACTGATGGATAATACGAATATTGAAAATGCAGCATTAGTTTTAAGGGTTTTTTCAGGACTATCGGAGTGTCAAACGTTTGCTGGAAGAGGCAGCTGATAAGCGAGGACTACTTATAGTAATTACTTTGCCCTACCTAAGAGAAATCTTGGGGGAGGGGGACTTAAAAAACAAAAGAAAGCAAACTGTCTCATTTGCTTAGGGTCACATCCTAAGAAAAAAAGATTTCAGGGTAGGGAAGGAATAAACATGAAATGTTTTATTGTTAGCTAGATCATTTCATCCCCTGAATACATCTACAAATTGAGCCTTTATAGACAATACATTAAAGATGTCCAACACTTTGAAGATGGTTTCAAAGCAATCACTTTCATCGCAATAGATTTCAGAAGCTTAAAGCAGTGTTTACAGCTGGGAGATATGAATGCTGTGGATTAGTAAAATTAAATCCATCTCTTTTAGAGATGATATTGACAATGCAGAAATCAGAATTAAAAAAAGAAAAATAAAACAACACCCTGAAGCAGCAAGTAAGTCAAGTCTATGTACTTACGCTTATCTTCAAATAATATTTTAGATTTCAGATAAACCTCGGAAGGGTCAAGCTTTGGAGAAGATGACTTCACAGAAGTAGGTAGAAAAGGCATTGGATGTGGAACAGGCTCACCAATGGCCTCTAAGCTTCCTGAATTTTCCTCTTTATTTATTTTCTGAAATAAATAAGATTCATATAAAATAGGTTGCAAAAATGAATATTGTCTTAAACAAGTAACTAGAAAGATGAGCAAAACATTCTTCAATAAACACTTTTGGTTTTTTTAATGAGATTCAAACATCTCCTGAATTTCTCCTGAAATTTTCTAGTATTGCATCTTTCACTTTCTTATATTCTTCTTTGAAATTTTAAGTATGAATAATTAACTCATCCAATCTAACAACAGCAACATTGTGGCAGAATATGATAAAAATATATTTCAGAGAAGATATCTCAATTTCACATGTCATAAACTTCCAACAGATTTGTTTCCGAAAAATGTAATTATACATGGATGAAGTCTTTCTATATAGTGTACTTTAGATCTACTATAATTAGATAATAGGATATACCAATGTATACAATTCATAATTATGCACAAGACAAGGAGAGAAATCTACACTAGGTTTAGGTTAGCTTATCAAAATATTTCCATGCCCTTATTTATGTAACTTTCCTCTATTTGAGGCATATATGCAATGCAATGGAGATTGTATGGAAGCAAGTATATGAAGGGAGGTTGCAATCTGTCAGGATCAGGTGGCATTCTAACCAATCATTTAATCTAGAATTAAATACAGGGGAAAGTATTGACTCAATGTGCATTTTAAAGATCTAGCTGGAAGAAAGGGCATGGGGTAAGGTAGGCAATGTTCTGGCCCCTAAGTTGGCCAGCTCTGGTGACTGCAACAGGCTGTGACTGGAGAGTAAGGAGGTGAAAGGATCCAGCTGAAAATTTGTGAGCTTTGACTATATAGAGCTAGACCTGCACAGTCCTCATACTAAAAGGATATCTGTAGTGTACTCTCCATTCCACTATCTAAAGTCTCTCTGTTTCTAAGCTAACTTTATTTCAAGCATTGTACTGAATTACCCTAAAATTCTTGTCCTGAGGCTTAGGAGAACCTCAGGATTTCATGTCTTCACAAAAGACCACAGAACTGTCTCAGTGAGCACCTAACTTTATGTACATAAAGGCCCATGCTGGGTTTGCTATTCATTTTGGATGCAACTATAAACTGAAAGTGAAAAAGCATTATCTAATTCTAATGTCCTAGAGTCTTTCACAGCCTTTTGAGCCTGGAGGAACCTTTAAATATTTTTCAAGCCTTGGATAACCCCTGCACATACAGGCTCAAATATAGGCCAGAAGTTCAAAATTATTATATTCATTTTATGGGCAGGCCCACATATATGCATTAACAATGTTCTTAAACTAAAAATAAAGAAATTATTTTTTTTCCTTTCCACCACCTTCTTCCCCTGTCTTTTGGGTAGATTCTGCTGCCATCGGTGACTATATATGTTTGGTCCAAGATCTCCTGTGCCTGCCCTGAGATAGAAAATCCGCCACCCCAGGCCACTGAACCTGCAGAATGACAGGCTGGCAAGCAGAACCCCAGCACACACACTCTCTCATGTGCACACACTCTGCTACTCCTCCTCAGCTTGGCTTGGCTCACTTCTCGGCTTCAGCTTTGTATACCTCTCCGCTTTCATCCCTTTGTGCAATGCTTACCTCTACCCGAGGTCAACACACACTCTAGTGGGCCAACCCAGGGTTTGGGGTTGGAGTTTTGTTCAATCTCTGCTTTTTAAAAATAAATCATGATCTCCCAGGGAGCCTCTAGTGACCTCTCGCAGAATCCTAGGTTACGAAACATCCAGTTGAGAAAGCCTATCCTACATAAATAACAGTGGGTGGTGAGTTTTAGTTTGGTGACTAGCACTAATCTCTATACTGGCAGATGACTAGTTAAAATGGTAAGATCCAGGAAACGGATGGATCTGGATCATTTGGTGTGTCTTCTTTCTCGTAAGTTGCAAATACTATTGAAATTTTAGTTGATCTATGAAATACAGAAATGACCATAATTTATCTTGTTATCTTAGATATTTCTAATGTATACATCTTGAGAGCTGTGGACAAGGTTAGTCAAGACTGCCCTTTTTGGCTTGTTGAAGTGGCCTTAATAATACTTGTCTGGGGCTAAGGAAGATAATCAGTGCCTCTTTACAAGTGAGATGTACTTTGCTCCAACCCTGCCTAAACGAAGTAGCTTTTCATCTAAAAGTTCTGTGCATGTTAGTTTCAAATACTCAATTTCTGAGAAATGTAGCCAAGAAGATCGTGAATTTCTTAGCTCCAAACACATTTGGGTGAAGCTAATAATTTGGACTCGTTACAGTTAGGTTTTTACCTAGAATATGATATAAAGACAATTGGATTGCTTTGGTGGGTGGTCTGCTCTGGAAACTGGATGGGGAAGTATAATTCTGCTAATAGTTCTTAGACCATCTGGTAGGACTCAACTTTAAGTTCTACTGTTTTTTATTGGATTATGGTTCTAAAGTGGCTTCCGGCTCACTGTTCAATTCATCAGCTAATATATCCTGTAGGCTTCTATCTTTTCCTCCATAATCTGCATGAAAGCACTGCCTGTGTATGAAAGTTAGCTAATGATTTAGAGTCTCATTAGTATGATACCCACTCTTAATTGCTCCCTACAACTGAGCCTGGATTAGACTTCTCTATTATTCCACATCAGGGAACATGTGTCTGTCATTCAGAGGTGGTCGTATAGGTGTTGCATTTATATATATGTTAATGTTCCAGCTATGATGCATTCAAACAGCTCGCCTTCCAACAGGAAATCGGATCAATCAATCAACGTGCAGAAGGGGCGTTGTCTTACCTGAACGCCTTTTCTCAGCATGAGGAATGTAGACTCCACGCATGGGTTGATTTAGTCTTCTAGCCCAATCAGACCAAACAATCAAAGTTGCCACGCCTCTGCAGGGTCTGACCATGCCCCAGTTTTCGAAAGGGCGAAGCGAATGATTGTGTGACGAGATGGTTCCGAACTGCTGACACTAACCTAGCTGCTAGTAATAATCAGGGAGGGGGTGGAGTCTACATTCCTCATGCTGAGAAAAGGCGTTCAGGTAAGACAATGCCCCTTCTCCAGCATGTAGAGGAATGTAGACTCCACGCATGGGACATACCAAAGCCCCTTTGATCCCACGGGTGGAAAGCAGGTTGGTTAAGTGTCGGTGCTGAAATGGACCACTTGTTGTAAAACCTGACGGCCAAACTTGTCGAGTTTGTAGTGGTGAATGAATGGTGAAGGGGACGACCACGTAGCCGCCTTACAGATGTCCTCTATGGATGCCTGAGTCTGCCACGTCGCCGATGTGGAAGCGCTACGAGTAGAGTGCGCTGTCAGGCGGCTTGGGACAGGTAAAGAGGAAGCCTGGTAAGATTGAGCGATACAGGCCTTGATCCACCTGGCTATAGTAGAGGAGGAAACCTTCTGTCCCTTGGAAGTTAAGTGGAAAGAGACAAACAATGCCTCCGATTTGCGAAAGGAAGCTGTCCTCTTAATGTAATGACGTAATGCCCTACGTACATCTAGGTAATGCCACTGCTTTTCTAGTGTGTGAGAAGGATTGGGACAAAAGTTTGGTAGTACAATGTCCTGAGCCCGGTGAAACAGGGTATTCACCTTGGGAATGAATGAGGGATCTAACCTCAGCACCACTCTGTCCTGATAGAAGGTACACAGGTCTTCCCTAACTGAAAGAGCAGCCAGCTCTGACACGCGTCTCGCCGACGTGATGGCTACTAGGAAAGCCACCTTGTGGGACAAAATGTGAAGAGGACAAGACCTTATAGGTTCAAAGGAGACCTAGTGAGTGCCTGCAGAACACGAGGTAGTTCCCAAGATGGATACCTGTGTACTACCGGAGGTCTGGTGTTGGAGACTCCTTTCATAAAGGATCGGACCCTGGGATGATGGGACAATGGAGTGGCGTTGGCACAGGTGAACACCGTGGAAAGAGCGGCCACCTGTCTACGCAAGGTGTTGGGCGCTAAGCCTTTATCCACTCCATCCATGAGGTATTCAAGAATCACTGGGATAGTGACAGAGGAGATAGACAAACCCTTACAGGTACACCAGTCACAGAAGTTCTTCCAAGTGGCATCATAGATTTGGTTCATCGCCGGCCGTCTGGAAGCTTGGATCATAGCTATCACCCTTGAAGAGTAAGATCCGCACATCAGGAACTGGCGCTCAGATGCCAGACGGCTAGTTGTAGCCACTGTGGGTTCGGATGGCATATGGCCCCGTGTTAGAATTATCCTCTCTGGAGGGATTTGCCAAGGGGGGGCTACGGCGAGGTTCACGAGATCCGCGAACCATGGACGCCTCGGCCAATGCGGGGCCACAAGGATTAGCTCCACCTGTTCCTGTAACAGCTTCCTGATGACAGCCGGGATCAAGGGAAGGGGTGGAAATGCATATAGAAGGCCCGCCGGCCAAGGGCTGCGGAGGGCATCTGCTCCTTCCGAACCCTGGGATGGGTACCGAGATAGAAACCAGAGAAGCTGGGTGTTCTTCGGGGATGCAAACAGGTCGACTTTGGGCCGACCGAAACGATGAGTTATCTCCCGAAAGAGATGGGGATGTAGACGCCACTCTGAATGATCTATCGTAGATCGACTCAGAAAATCTGCCTGGTCATTTTCCACCCCTGAAATGTGTTCTGCCTTTAGGGACAACAGATTCTGTTCCGCCCATGACCCCAGACACTGGGACTCGGACATTAGAATCCGTGATCGAGTGCTGCCCTGCCTGTTGACATGGGCCTTTGCCGCCACATTGTCTGTTAGAACCAGCACGTGGCGGCCCGCCAACTTCTTGTGGAAATGGCGAAGTGCTAGGTGTATGGCTCTGAGCTCTAACCAATTGATATTTTTCTTGAGATCCCGTTGAGACCACCGTCCCTGGGCGAATTGAGATTGCAGATGTGCCCCCCATCCAAACAGACTGGCGTCTGTGGTCAAGGTTACCCGAGTCGGTTCTCTGAACAGGGATCCTTTGGACAGTGCTGGGGACAACCACCAGATGAGGGACGTGAGTGTCTGTGGTGGGACTCGCACCCTCTGTGGAA